TTTCATACTGTGGTTTTTGTGAAAGAAATGCTAGAAACATAGATGGCCATTTCTGATATTTACTATTGCGCTATCAACGATATCTGCACTTATACTTTGAAGATAGGAAAATATTTAATTTTTAATAAAAAAAAATAGAATATCGAAAGTTAGAATCAAAGACAACAATGCTCTATTTTCAGCTACATCAATAATCCAATACGACATTCTTATAGGTGTGCCAGAATCTTAGTGAAATTAAATCTACTAAAAGTTTTTCATTTTGTATCAAGAGCTTCACGAAGGCTAGTTACAAAAACTGACTTTAAAATCTTCTTTATATGTTAATTTTTGCCAGGAATGTGTCTGACGAGCAGTACAGCTTATTAATATCATTGTCATTAGCACTGAAAGCCGAAAAAATATTCATTAATTTTTTGTGATTTCATAAACTTATACGTTATATTATAATTGCAAAAAATGTGCACACTTATTAATTGTAAGAGAATGGGTAATCCAAATTTTAATTTTAATGGAAAGTACCGTACTACTGACAACTTGCTATTCAAACCCATCGTAAATTAAACAGTTTGCTCGTTTTTTCGCGATTGTCATAAATATGAGTAAATTTTTGTAATTTCTTGAACCAGCCCGCTTCTTATAACACACTCTAAAGCAATAAAATGATTAATGCAATATTCTGTCTATAAATAGTTTTTCCAGAATTTTAATGGTTCTTGAGTTTCTTTAAAATTTTGGTGACATTAAGTTTATTAACGTCAATATATTAGCTCTTATAACTCTTCGAACTCTCATAATTTATTTCCGTTTTTTTAATATTTTTCACATATATTTCTTTAATTTTTATTAAATTTTCTTAATGTGCTTTCGTACTAGTGAAATAAATGTGGATTCGCTGGCAAACTTTGTGTGTTTTCAGTCACATCTCTTTCTCTCACCTTCACTCTAGCGTGCCACGAGTTTTACGATACACATTGACCGACTCAACGGCGTAACGTTTGTCCCCCGTCGCTTTCTCCCGACTGCCTGCGTCGTCGAACTCTACACGTGGCACTTTCACAATGTCCAGGACACGACCGACAATCGTTTAGCTGGGCACGCAACGAGAAACGTGGGGTGCCGCAGAGATCGAAGACAAGCAGATGGTTGCGTGATGGATGTGTGCATTCCATCCAGAGAAAACCACAAAATCGACTAGAGACAACAAGGAAAAGATACGGGTCCCGAAACGACGCCCTGACCCCGCCCACACTAGACGGCGCAGCGTTCACATGACGCTCTGCAGGCGCTCGCGAGCGGTCCTACGATCAATGTGTGTCTTTCGTGACGCTGGCTCATTCAGTCGCGCTAGCGGTTTGCTGAGCGGTCGGTTGCCTCTTCCTCTCGACGTTCGTCTCCTCTCCTCAATGACCGTTGTCCAGTATTCGCTATCTAATTTCCTCTAGGCCGACCTCTACTATATTCATGTATTCCTGGAGGCGAGCCTTGACTCAGGCTATGAGATTCCGAGTGCAGTATCGTAACACATGTACCCGTAATCTTCATAGTCCGAGTCCGGGCATCGCAATATTTCGCTCCTCTGGTGCCAGCAAGGGAAGGCCCGGGGACTAGGCGAAAACTTGTCGCGGTATACTGTATCAATAGATATACCCGTATAAGTTTCCGCTGAGCCCCCGGGATGCCCACATTAAATGAATTGATTAGGTAAGGGAGCAAACTTTCAGTTCAATGTCAGTGCTCTCGGTGGTAGTATTACGTGTGCGCCAAACAATTCGGATCGTACCCGTAAAGCTTCCACTGAGTGCCCAAGATGTTGCCATTTGAGTTTTATTTTCATCAAAAATGTGCTTTAATAAAGTAAAATATATCTACACTTTAACCTATTGAAAGAATGGAAAGGGAAAGCGAACACCTGACAATGCATTGATTTATACCGAGGGAATAGTGAAAGGATATAAGAGACCCAGGAGAACGATGACAGAGACGACCAGACGAGGTGTTTACACCAACGGCCACGTCCACTAGTATACGACGTTGGCTTAAGCGAGTGAGAGGAGGGCAAACATAACGTCGATTGGTGATGAAGGAAGCCATTGCGGTGTTCTTCGTCTTTCAAAACACTCTATGCACTATCGAGTGCAGTTTGAGTACTAGGCGTTTTGGATGGTTGCCAGTAGAATTCTGATTCGTAAACAAATAGACGGATAGGATCCTCAAGAGAAATTGCACCAAAGATATCGAACAGAATACTGTCTAACGAGAGATGCTTGGATAGTTAATGTGAATCAATTTGGGAAATTTAGAAAGTTTCTTGTTTCAGCGCTTCTTGATATTTTTCTCAGTATTCGTTCTCCCTCATGGTGTAATTAATGTTGATAGAAATTGAGAGCATTTGAGCAGCGGCTCCATGGGAACACTTGTTCGCTCGTGCCAGTCGGCTCCGTGGCAGATGGCATGCACATTAACATTCGCATTCAATTTCAAATCTATTGAGTACGAAGAAGCTCGTGCGCCATCTGCTTCGTCAGCCAGCATATGCACAGTGAGAAATTCAGTTCTAATGAAATTGTGCGAGATGGTGGAGTTTTGCTATCGATGGTAGTAATGTAATAGAATCTGCCAGGTCATCGCAACAACTGTGTTCCGATTATGAAACAGAGCGCGCTTCGAACACTTATCGGCGATCATATATATATATATATATATATATACATATATAGGTCATTGTATCTTACAACTTGCAACATTTTTCAGGACATTCGCGGATAGATAAGGAAACAAGACCTCGGTATTCTTATCTTTACAATGGTGCGACTTTCTTGGTTCATATTATAAACCATACAAAGATAATCGCATATTACGCATATTCACACGCAATGCCATGAGATGGTCTCAGTTGAATGAAACATAAGCTGCTATGCAAATCAGAGATGTTTGACGTTGGTTTAAACTTAATGATTTATTGCGTTTCTTTTTACAAGAAAGTTGACAAATTTAGTGAAACCGCTAAACTAGAAACCTAACACAAGTGAAGAATGAAAATATTGAACTCTCAAAGTCTTCCTTAGGAATTATTTTAAAGCAATTACTTCCTTCATAATAATAATTTTATCAACATTCAACTGGGTACAATTGTAATAGTTTGCTAATTTTTGAAAATTTCATTTTAACTCGAATTGTTCTTGAAAAACACTTTATGTGCTTCCTTATAACTAGCCCTTCATAAATTCCATGCATTCACCATCATGAACGATGTTGTTGTTAACATTCTTTTCCTTGAAAACATCGACGTGTCAATTCATATAAAATAAACATGTTTTACAAAATACGTGGCTTATATGATGAATTAATAGTTTTTTTCATGACGCCGTTTATTGCACGCCGTATCATATATTGTATCGACATCGATTGAAAACGGAGTCAATGGATAACCAAAATATTACGGATAATATTGGCTGGTTGATTGGGCGAAGAATATTGCGATAGAAGTCGATTTTTGTTGATCAATTCAAAAAACTTATCACGCATTCAACAAAAAATGAAACTTTGCGAATATGTGAATTCTGAAGACGTTTTTTTTAATATTAATACGATTGCGCAATATTTGTGATGAGTCAACATTGTCGCATTCATGTGTAATCCTGATGCTAAAATAAAAAAAAATGATAAAATTTGTTAAGTTATAATAAAACGTATCATAGTTACACATTAATGCATATTTTCGCTGTTAATGTAAAAACGTGAATCAAAAATTGAACCCATTTCTTAGATAAACCACTTTCCTATTGTTAAGGAAAATCATTTGGAAAAGAAGAAACAAGACAAGCAAATCTTTTCAGCGTTAACTAGTACACAGTTCAAAAAATTAAAACTACAATTCAAAACATTTGTCAACCGGTTTTCCTATTTGATTTTTTTATTTTTTTTGTCTTAGTGATTCGAACAATATTTATGAACTACCATTGCCATTCCGCACAATTTCAAACTAATAGTTCATTTTGTGTTACGTCCATTTCCAATCTGTCGTTGCGTAGCAGACAGAGCTCGGTCACCATGCGATACTCTGCGTCTGCTCAACATTTAGCTCACAATCCTTTCAGTAATCCTCTATTCGTTCTCCAATCGTATAGTTCATTTCACATCAAGTTGTGTATGTGTATGAAACGCAGTTTTTGTTGGTTGCGGACAGCATTGTACGATTTATACTCATAAAGTTGTTGGATGGTGATACGAAACGCTCGCTGTCGTTATCACAAAAATGAATGTGGGTGGAACAATCGAGGCAGCGAGAGGCAGTATAAAAGGCGATTGCACACACTTGCACATTACAATCTCTATTCTGCTATTCGATCGATTGCGACTTTTGGCTGGGTGGAATGCTATATGGTATGCGAAAGTCAGCGACATACCCGTAGCCATTCCATCGAGCGGAGATGTTGCTCTCATTTGCAACAGTGGATCGAATTTGAAATTAAAGAATATCACAGAGCCTTACAAAAATTAATTAAATATGCTTTGGAATCTAAAAAAAATGCTTGTAAATTGATTAAAAACGGAACTATGAAATTCTAATTACGCAATTTCAAAGAGAATGAAATTTTGAATAGTTTTTTTCCCGCCATCTATGGAGATTTTTGGAAAAATTCAAGTTGGCAAATATTATTGTTTATTTGTTGGCTAATTGTGTGAACGTGCTATTCAAAAGAGAAGCAAAATATTTTCTTGGGAAGGAGGTGCTGCATTGTTTTCAAGAATAAGCCTTTGAATTGATAGACAAAGAATTATTGGTAAACAAATATTTCAATGAATAACATTGAAGAGAACAACTGAAATGCTTAATTTATCGAGCTACTCATAAGCAAACGGTGAAACAAAAAGTTTGATGTTTCAAATGTGTGGAATTACCGGGTACAAAATTTATTGCGCACAAGGTGCAATGAGATCTAGAAATAGTAGTAATGCTCTGATTTTGATTAATCGACAATAAAATGTTTGGGAAATTATTGATCTGTCAAAGTTGCGTCATCAACAAACGTTGTCAGACTTATCGAATTCCGGAGACTATTTTGGGACGGGAAGAATTCACAAAACACTTTCTTGATCTCTGATGCTTGCTCCTCGCCAAACTTTTCACTCATCACTTGGTCTAATTTTTTGCATATGTTTTCACCGTCATTATTGTCTTCATTTTCCGGACATTCTTCTTCCTCTTCCGTGATCTGAATATTAAACTGTTCGAAATTCGAACTATTTTATACTCACAGAAAGGCTTTGGAGAGTGAATGTTGTTACTTTTCTGTGGCCGTCATCTGATTCAAGATTTAAGTATCCGTAGCTCTCGTCATCCAAATTAAGTAGACCAGTTAATTCTGTTCGAATATCATTAAAATCTGGTCGTTTCTCTGGCTTTTCTTCCCAGCAAGTCTTCATCATCTCGAATCTGAAACATTTACCCAATATAATAGCAAAAAAGTGAATACTACATTTCGTTCGGACATTTTTGTGGCTGCGGAAGTCGATTTCCTTTCAAAAGATGATCAAGCAGTTCCATTTGTTGAACGGTTGGATAAGGAATATCGCCAAGTGAAAATATTTCGAACAGCAAAACTCCATAAGACCATACATCACTTTTAATTGAGAATTCGTAAAATTTCAAGGCTTCAATCGACATCCATTTAATTGGAAGTCGACCACCTTTTGCAGTGTAGAGCGATGAATCCATACAACGACATAGCCCGAAATCACTAATCTAAAAATAGCTCGTTCAATTTGAAAAAAAATATATACAAAATTCACTTTAGCTGTAAGACTTTTTGTTAAAAGCACATTTCGGGCAGCCAAATCGCGATGAATGAAATTTTTAGAAGATAAATATGCCTATAATCACATCAAATTCCAAATGTTTTACAATTAGCTTATATTAGTACCATTCCATCCGCAATTTGCCAAGCAATTGATACTAAATCTTTAATTCTAAGGCAAATATCTGCGTCAATCGGACATTGCTCTGTTTTGTTCTGAAAATATATGTATTTCGATTTGAAATGGCTTGAACAACCACTCGCCAATATTATATGTTCTTTATGTAACCGCAAGAATTTCAATAAATCTCCACGCTCGCAATATTCGACAACAATCATTGGATCATAGGTGTTAGAGACACATCCAAGCATGCTTATAACATGCGGATGATGGCCAAGTCGCTTCATAAATTCTATTTCATGGAAAAAGTCCAATCTGTTTTGATCATCAGCGTGCGGTGGCATTTTTTTGACAGCGACCTGAGATCGATTTCAGTGATGATAATAAAAATTCTATCTGAACCTCATAATGCCCATCTCTTTCGGATTCAATAACAAGTTTCAAACTGTTGTTTACAACAAGAAGAGGAGCTTTTCCTTTCAGAACTCCTTTAAAAACATTGGCAAATGCTCCATTTCCTAGTAGACATTCCTCTTGAACCAATAAGTTTTTTGAATCAATTTCCCATACATCTTTGCTAAAAATAAAAAAAAAATGAAACAGAAGTTGTTCAAATGCCACACTTATTAATATTTGCCAAATCTTGCATATCTGTATAGTTATTTGCAGTGGCATACGGTGGGTATTTTTCAATATCAAATTTGGAAAATGTGTCTCTTCTCTTAAAGAATCCACGACGTCGTTTTTCAAGCATTCCACGAATTGATTGTCGATCATCTGTAATAAAAAAAATAATTAAACTTTCTGTATTATTTTTGAAACTGAAAGTAAAAATAGTACAGTGCTCACCTCCACCTTGTTCAGCTCCGGCACGCAGTTTAAGGGCTGCCAATTTAAGCCTGGCGCATTTGAAACAGCAAATGAAAAACGCAATACAACAAATCGTAATGCTCACACTTGGGATTCCAATAATCAAAATTAATTCTGAATGAATAAATATGGCAGTGTTGGATGATATGGATTATTACCTAACGTATAATTCATACCAGCATTATCGTCGTGGCTTTCCTTTGCTAAACAAATTTCATACTTATTAGGATGCGTCATTGAGTACGAGTCCATGATTTCACAATATGTTTGAGAATAGTTGTATTTACACCCAGGGAAAATCTGATATATATAAGCTGTAATTCGAGTATTATATAAAATAATTATATTGAAACATACGACTGTATTCTCGAAGGTTTTGATCAAAAAATGAAATTTTTGTGACAATCCCGTATTTTGACAAATCTTCAAGTGTGTTTTGAAATAGACCAGTAGATAATGTACAAAGTTCCGTAATAGGAATATCCGTGAAGACAGCAAACACTACACCATCATATGTTTTTGGTGGAGCTTTTATAATGCAACTAGCCTGTTATGAATTTTTTAAAGAATTGATGATATCTGAAACAAATTACCACTGATACGAAGCGGTCTATAAATTTGTCTGCCAGTGTTCGATTCGATGTGGAATTGATTACAGCAACAGAAATATTAAAATTTCTCATTGCTCGTTTCAGCATAATCGAATTGAACTGAAATAAGAAATTTTGTCGATTTTCGAAACAAATTTAAATTGAAACATTGAAATATCCAACACATAAATTTTTCAGCTGCCCAAAATACCATTGACATTCATCTTCTTTCGAACATTTCGATGTAGTCTAAAAATTCCAAAAGAGACTTATTTTTTAAACATGCTGATGATTTGCATTGTTTAAAATTTACTTGTGCGAAAAAGTTCTCCAATATCTGTTGGTTTTTATCGATGTTTTGAAGGCCTTTCAGCATAACAAGTGTTGTTAAAGCCCACGTCTTGCAATCGTTCTTTATTTGCCCTGCTGAAATTGTTATCATTAATCGAAACGACATAATCGGATCATCACTTCTTTCTTAACACCTTTAAATTTGTGCTCAGTTTGAAGCGAAAAAAATTGACATCATTTTAATAAATATTTTGTCATATAACCTACGTAAACAAGCATCATTGATGTCTCCATTATCCTGCATGTTTGAAAGTGGTTCTTGTGTTACTGTTCTCGAAGTTGGACAAATTTCAACATACTAAGAAAAAAATTGCAAAATTGCTTGGGATCATGAAGTCAAACAAGAAAAGTCTTACTGGTTCATTTGAAATTTCCTGAAAAAATGTTACACGTTTTCATGTTACATAATGTACGACTTACCGGGATAAAATCGTTGAACTCTGGTTGAAACTGCAAATGTACAGAATTTATGTTTAAAAAAGCATTATTTTCAAATATATTCGATGATTACCATTAGGAAAATTTCAAAATTCAACTTTTGCATTCTGCAAGCATTACAAAGAAAACTTACTTGTGAAGTAGTGGTTCCAATTAAAATCAGAATAAAAGCTGCGCATGTCACCAAACCAATCTTCATACTTCGACAGAATACCGAGTTTAAGGGTTTAAGGTTTTCACCACCTTTATCATGCAAATGATGATTTAAAAGAGCAAATTCAGACAGATTATAATCATCGATAAAATAATGCATGACGAGAAACCACTTGAAGACTGCTTGAGTAAAAAAAAAGAAGTTGTAGCGACCCCGATTCATGTCTTCAATCTTCAATTGTCTTCAGTAATCCTTTAATAGTTTCTCGTCGATTACTGTATGTATTTAAGTTCATTGAACAGTGAAAAACCGGCGTTAGGGTGCTATACGATTCTCTTTCTTGTACCTTGTGCGGTTGAGATAATTTGAGAAGAAATACATTATTACATCATCTTTCAGAAAAAAAAAAGAAAATGTTGGAAATAGTAAGTTCGGCTCAAGACTCATTTGAAATTGCCTTAAACATTAACCTCTAAGGTCCTATAGAGGTTCTTAGGGATTTTCTGCAAAATTTGTTTTCAATATGAAACGAACACTTCACTTTTCTATTTTCTTTCTCATTCAGCAGCACATTTTATGAATGAAAAAAATTTTTTTAAATTAATTCACGTCATGATTAAATGCCTAAGTTATACAAAGTTGGTTAACAGTAGTAGAATGCGTTTTTGAGATACAACTTTATAAATATATTTTTTTTAATAAATGAAAAATGGTTTGTCATGTCGATAAAAATTCGAATCAAGGACTTCCAGATATTATTTCAGTGGGAAAAAATTCGGAGAACACCTTTCGCATTTCGGATGCTTGCTCTTCACCAAATTTTTCTCGAATTACTTTATGCAGTTTCTTGCAAATCGTTTCGTCGTGGATTTTTGTCACTTTGTCTGTGCATTCCTCGTGCTCACATGACTAAAAATTCACTTTACTTTTTTGAAATAAACATCACTCATTCATTACCGAATCAGTCATACATTGAAGGGTAAATGTTGTGATTTTTCGACTGTCGTCGCATTCCAAATTTAAATAACCATAGCTTTCGTCATCCATGTTTAATAAATCAGTGATATTCGTACGAATATCATTGAAATCTGGGCGATTTTGTGGATTCTCATCCCAGCAGGTTTTCATGATTTCATAGCTTAAGAAAATATTTAATGAGAGCTGCTAAATTCAATATTACATCTCATTCGGACATTTTTGTGGCTGCGGAAGTCGATTTCCTTTCAAAAGATGATCAAGCAGTTCCATTTGTTGAACGGTTGGATAAGGAATATCGCCAAGTGAAAATATTTCGAACAGCAAAACTCCATAAGACCATACATCACTTTTAATTGAGAATTCGTAAAATTTCAAGGCTTCAATCGACATCCATTTAATTGGAAGTCGACCACCTTTTGCAGTGTAGAGCGATGAATCCATACAACGACATAGCCCGAAATCACTAATCTGATAAAGAAAAACAAATTTTCAAAAATAAAGTTAATAAAATACTTTTGCAGTTAGACTCTTAGTAAGTAGCACATTTCTTGCAGCTAAATCCCGATGAATAAATTTTTTCGAAGATAAATATGCCTGTAAAAACAATTGTTAATCAAGTGTGTCAATCTTAAAACATACCATTCCATCCACGATTTGCCACGCAATAGATACCAAATCTTTGATTCGAAAGCAACTACCATGGTTAAGATTACATTTTTCTACTTTGTTCTGAATAACTTTCAATTGGCGATTATAGTTTTACGAATTATTTACGATAATAATATGATCCTTGTGCATTCTCAAAAACTTTAGAAGGTCGCCTTTTTCGCAATATTCGACTACAATCATTGGATCGTATGGGTTTGAAACACAGCCAAGAATACTGACAACATGGGGATGATGCCCAAGACGCTTCATGAATTCGATTTCAGTGAAGAAGTCTAATCGATTCTGTTCATCGGCATGTGGCGGCAGTTTTTTGAAAGCAACCTGATATCGCGTTAATATCGAAAGTTGGTTATTAACATTTAAAACCTCATAATGCCCATCTCTTTCGGATTCAATAACAAGTTTCAAACTGTTGTTTACAACAAGAAGAGGAGCTTTTCCTTTCAGAACTCCTTTAAAAACATTGGCAAATGCTCCATTTCCTAGCAGACATTCCTCTTGAACCAATAAGTTTTTTGAATCAATTTCCCATATATCCCTAGGAATTATTGTAATATCTAGAAAATAATCAATGCTTACTTATTAACATTAGCTAGAAGGTCCACATCGGTATAATTATTACCAACTGGTTTTGTTAATTCCATTGAAATTTGTTCACTATATCGCTTTGATAAATTCGCAGTATCTCCTTTTCGCTTAAACATTCTACGTATTGAGAAATTATACCGTGTTCTTAGATTATTATCAGCGCCGAGTATGTGCATTCTCATAGCCGCGAGCTTCAGTCGGGCACATTTCAAACAACACACAAAAAATGCAATGCAGCAAATTGTTATACTGACACAGGAAATTGCAATTAACAAAATGAGTTCTGAATAATATTTTAATAAACAATAATGAAATGTTGAATACCTGTTCTGTTATTCATTCCAGTCTTATTAATGTATTGTGAATCATCAGCAAAACAAATTTCATATCGTTCGGGATTCATCATCGAGGAAGAATCTAGGACTTCGCAATATGTCTGCGAGAAATTAAATTTGCATCCAGGTAATACTTGATATATAAAAGCTGTGAAAATGATTAATGTTTTAATGAATGCATATTTAAATTCATACGTGAATATAATTTCAAACTTTGATCGAAAAAAAATATTTTAGTAATAATTCCATATTTAGCTAATGATTCAATAGTTGTGCGGAATAGGCTAATTGGACCAATGGTACATAATTCCGTTATTGGAATATCTGTGTAAACGTTCAATACAGCGCCGTCAAACATCTTAGCTGGATTATTAGCAATGCATTGTGCCTTAAAAAACAATATTCATGTTACTCATAATTAGTTTTTATCTCAAAAATCAACTAACGTGAAACGGAGAACGATCAACCTCGTTTTCCGCGTTATGATGATTTATCAATGTTTATTATTATTTTTTATTCGCAATAGAATTGCATTTCTTCACAATTTGATCATAACTTCAGATATCAAAAAAATTTCAAATTTCAAATTGGACACTGAAATCCAGAAATCAGTGGTTTTTAAAGCAATTGGAAAAAATGTTTTAATTGCGAACATATTTCTCGAGTACAGTAATTAAAAATTATTGTAGTTTCTGTGAGTATCGTAACATCCGATTCTGTTAGCCGATTTTTTCCGAAACGGGCAATAATTAAGGAGAACAAATTTACCACAGAAACGAAATATTCCATAAATGTCTGTCCTTTTTGATTTTGCCATTTATTAGGTATGACAGCAACAGACATATTGAAATTCCTGTACGCCCGCTTAAATACAATCGAATTGAACTGAAACAATTAAATTATACTTGTATGACAATAAAGCATTACATTGTAGTATCCAATGCATTTGTGTGTTGTGTGTGGAAAATACCATTGACATTTACTTTTATACGAACAATGTGACGTTGTCTGAAAATTAAAAATTCAGGAAATATTCCGTTTTGGAAAAATTACTTGATTGAAAAAATTTTCTAGAAATATTTTGTTTTCTTGAAGATTGTTCTCACTTTTCAGTACAACCAATGTTGTTAGAGCCCATGTTTTACATTCGTTCTTTTTTTGTCCTGCTAAAATTTTTATATCAGTTGGAATCGAATAATCGGTTTATGAAATATTCTTAAGAACTTATCATTGCGGGAGAATAAGAAAGAAAAAAAACTGACGCAAACACGATTCCGACATGTCTCCAATATCCTGTATTCTTGGTGGCCGGAAAGACATTGACGTATTTGAGAAAGGACATATTTCTGAATATTCAGAAAGAGATTTTTTAAGCTTTGAATTTTCATTTGTCTGCGTTATTGCCAATTCTGATGTTTTTGGATTCTGAAAAAAAAATCAACAACAAAAATCAGCAATAAATAACAAGTTTATGATTGTTTAACAGAAAATTGCGATGCATATATCATTCGGTAATACTTTTCGCGGTTTTCAAACAAAACTATTTCAAATTCACATGCCGGTGAATTTAAAGGCATGTGGTAATTGCCGGTCGCAAACTTGAATCAGTGAATAAATATAAAGTATATCACACAGAAATAAGATGTGTAACCTTTTACTTACCTCACTGTTACTACTGTTAATAACGATTATCAGAATTATAATTGTGAATATAGCGAATCCTATCTTCATACTTTGATGAAATTGCCAATTAAAGTGTTGGTTTGTTCTACTTTCTTCTTTACTTGAGTTATTATTTAAAGTAGAAGCATTAGCCAGATTACAATTTTCGATAAAATAATACATGTCGAAAATGCTCGAAAAAAGTGGAGTGCAATACTTAAAATCTAAGGACGACGTCTCGTTCCACACCTTTTCTGCTTATTGCTAAATAATCCCTTAAAAATTAATCTTAAAACACTATGCATTATGAGAAAAAAAGAAAAAATTGAATCACTTGACACACTCTATTTAAACATAATTATTTTCTTAACGATAATTATTTAAATATATATGTTAATGCGTTTTCTTCAAATTTTTGTTGACAGTTGGTCGTCTCCGACATCATCCCAATGTCCCGCAATCTGACCGTCAATTTTATCATTTTCTTCCTGCTGTTCTGTAAAATCTATGAATCATAAAGTGCTAATTATCACATCCACCCACTCAATTCAAGGTCCAATTTGTTAGCATCTCGAAGGAACATTACGGCGGCACAGAAATACAAAACTGTTGACACAATCATTAAACATGGCGATAATAGTGACGCCTATTAAAAAATGAATTTTTAATTTGTCTTAATATGCATTTTGAAGTACATAGGCTAGCGATTTGTAATTCCATTCAGGTATATTTGGATGCTTCGCTTGAATTGCGTCAGAAATCTGCAATAACACTTATCAAGGTTGTGCCCTTCTTATGCTTTACGTACAGCTCCGATAATATATGGTCCTGAAGCATCGCCAAACAAATGAGAAGATGAAGTTAAGTAGGAAAATGCAGTACTTCGTCGTTCTGGGGCGACAACAAACTTAAATGAATTAAATATGATACCACAAATAATATAAACAGTTACACACGTTCAAAACTTCAACATTCAAACTCCAGTTAAAACAAAGACCAGTAATTGCAATAGCACAGAGAATCTAGAAAACAGTTTCCGAAGTTTTAATGAAAGTGTTCTAACCCATATTAACATTTCGCTTGTATAGCCAAAAATAAAAACGATGAATAGGCAAGGAATTGATATCAGAGATCCGATTCCGGCAGCAATTGAATGAGCACGTCTAGTTTTGAATGTCTTGCCACACCATCCAAAAAGTAAAGCCTGAAATGTAAATTTATTAGTTTTGTGACTCATGGCAAATATTACTTGGGCAATTAAATTTCCTATAAACACACCGACAATTCCGCTGATAGTTGTTACTAAACCGAAAATAATTCCGACCATGAAAATTAATAAATTTTAGAACAATTTTAATGCCATGTGCCACTTACTGGTTTTTCTCTTTTGGGGACAAATCTTGAATGTTCTTGTAACCACGCGTCCATGCAATATTATATTGAATAATGGTTGGCATCCACCAGGTCAAAGTTCCACTTGTAAATACAAGTGCCGTATATGCCAACGTGGTCAAAATGTATGTGGGCCTGAACAATAATTAGACTATACTGTAGCTTTCGCAACGGCTTACGTTTTCAGAAGGATTTTGATATCTTTGATGTACGATGTACTTTTTCTCGCACTTGTTTTTCCTTCGACCATTTCAGAAGCTCCCCGTACTGGTTCATAAACGAACAAAAATAGAAGAATTAATCCGAGAACTCCTGTTATCAAAATGATTTTCTGATTCATCGAGTCGTTTACCTGCTACTCCCGTAACTCGAACTCCCCATTGCCAATAACCCGTTGCTGCCGCAACATTTGCGCTTATAATATACCCAAGACCACTGAAAAATTTATACGTTCAGGCTTTTAATGACCTAGGATTTTTTTCTGATTATTTATAAAATGTTGTAATCAATTAAAAATATCAATTCATCATAATGGTATTCAATAATTAATCATTTTGAATAAAATTCGGTATTACCTTCCTACTGGTACTGCGAGATAAAACAACATGTAAACTCTTGGACGCTTATCTGTAGTAAACATGTCTGAGATCATAGTAGGGCAAATGTTCACATAAGATGCTTCACCAATTCCAATGAGAGATCGAACGACGAGAAAAACTGGGAAAAGCTGAAAGTGGATTGCAAGTGGTAGTGTATTGTTCGCTTAGAACCAAAAAACATTAGACCCCCAAACCCCTTATACGGAAAGGTATTATTTTTTTAATAAGCTGTACTATGATCATTCGTGATAAGAGGTGTGAATATGTGCCCACTAATAAGGAAGTAAATTATTCCTTGATGTCTACCGAAAGGCGAGACCAAAACTCACATTTCTTGGAATGAAAGTGGAAGCGCAGACACAAACGAGCCATATAATCATTCCGGTCATCATTACATACTTCCGATTAAATCTGAAATAGGCTTGATATGTCACAAAGAGAACAATAAGTTTAGTCACGAAATTGATAATTCGAAAAACTAAAATTAATTCTAACAAAATTGGTGATTGGTAAAACATTTTAGCAGTATGACAAATATATTTAATAAATTACCCTTAAATATTTTACCTGTCTCCTAAATAACCACATATTGGCGATCCTATCATATATGATATTAAGAAAACCGTTTGTATCATTCCTGCCATCGAATCATTAATTTTGTAATAATCCTTCACATCCGGAAGAACTCCTGCAATTAGAAAAATAATAAATACATTTTTTTTTCTTAAATTTTACCGGCTATTGTGAATCTGTCGACATTATTAATCAAATTAATAAAGAAAAGAATTCCAACGCTAACATAATCCCTCGTTTCGTTCACCATTTTTTTCCTTTCAAGAAATCGTTATTAAATATTTCTGAACAAAAAATTAGAGAAAATGTAAAGAAAATATAGATGATCTTATTATAGTAACCTTAAAATCCAATATTCATTTTATGTTTCTTTTAACGCCTTTAAAGAGTTGATAATGTCATTTTTATGTTCTCAAAACTCCACCCCTTGATAGGAATGGATGATTGTTAGGAAAATTTTTATTGTCTTATTCTGAGCATTAAAATGTCAACAAAAATTGGAATTGAGTATCATAGGCACAGATCAAAAAAACAAAAGAATAGTCTGTTTAGAATTAAATTGAAGGATTGTACACAGCAAAAAATGATAATGATTTTCAAAATTTGTGACCTGACCCTAATACTCCGGAAAGTTCAAATTTTACCATAAAAATCATGAGAAGTATAAATGCTAGTTGCAAAAAAGTCATATTATTAAAAAAAACGTTTTTATCAAAAATTTTTCCGTGCATTGCAATTGCTTTTGAAATTCAGCGGATCCTTTTTAAGTAATATTTTAAAGATACTGTTATGCTTACTAGACTAAATCATTCTGAAATTTTCAATAAATTTTAAATTCTATTTTGACCTCGAATTTGGTTTTTTTTTTTCAATATCAATATTTTTCGTATATTTTGCGTTATTATTGTGAATTTCAGTGTTTCTTTTCTCCTAAAAAAAAACTATTAATACTTCAAATATTGAACATCTTCTGAACTTGATGGTTATCGTTCATCCACTGCGAATGCCTTTCAACAACTCATGATGTCCTTTGTACACTCTCGCTTAACTTGTATAATGCTGATGTCATTTGTATCTATAATTCTACCACATGCTTCCTTTTCGCTTTTTCACATTTTCGTTTGACGCTGAAACGAATTGATGGAGATGCACTCTTTCATATGATTTTGTTTCGAAATGTATGACAAAGTTGAGGTTTAAAATCAAAGGGTAGTAAATCAAACAACGCACTTCCAATAAACATTTAGTTGAGATACCCAGCCGAAATAAATCGGTGCTCAATAAAATACAAACAAAAATTGTTCTATTTGTAATTGATTGCCATTCCACAGAGGCTCAATTCGCAACACATTATAATGAAGCTAGTTTATTGTCTTTGCCTCATCTGACCTTGCATTTCTCTGCTTTTGTTTTCCATTTTCAACATGTTAGATATCATCTCTTACGCGAAGGGAGAGAAACTATTTTTTGTTGGATTTTGATGGTTTGATTGCATAACCGTGGCAAAAGACCGATTAAAAATGCTTGCATTGTTTCGATTTTTCTTTCTGCGCGTGTATTATTATCTTTAAACAATGTTCGCTTGATCGAGGAACAATATATCATTTCAATTGAAGAACGCTCATATCATCATCAACGCATGAATATGTATGAATTGCATGAAATATTTGCTTGGTTACAATATTTTTCCGTATTTGGCAAAAACCTGTTTTCATCGAAATACATATGTTTTGTCTGTGAATGTTAGTTAATTTCTAAGAGTCAATTTTCAAATCAATTTTGACAGTTAGTCAAATAAAATTTTGTTGATATGCATGTGAATAACCAAACAACAAATTCTCAGTGAACGGTTCGTATAGATTTTTAAACTCTTCCATCTTTACTGATTTTTCTCACATTAAATATAACATCATTTTTTTGCATAATAATATAGTTTCGAAAAGTAATAGAGATTATTGATTTTAAAGTATGCGTTGGTCTTTCATTGTTCTCGCCAATTGAATCATCAGTGAACCCAGGCAACTGAACAGTCATATTTAAAAATAGTTTTTCCATATTGCGGTGAAACACATGCCGCAATCGTATTAACAGTTTTCATTGGAATATTGGCGCGTGATTTTTAATAATATACTTGTTTTTTGGCATTAAATTTCATTAAAAATTCTTTGATAACTGAAAACTTTGTTAAAACTATTAATTTCTGATATTTTTTTTGAAATTTTAATTCAAATATCCATTTTTTAGACTTCTTCTGTATGAATGATAGCGTTGATAAATTGCGTCTACAAATTAGGATTATTTTCGAGACTTCAGATTTCGACCCACTCGGGTAAAACTGACAAATTGTCAACTATGAAAAAATGTCTTATATATGTTTAAAAATGTTCCAACTAAGGAAGAATGTTTACTTAACATGCCATAAATCGACACTTAAATTATATCTTATTCTATGGGAAAATCGAATTAAAACCAAGAAATATTTTCTATTACATCGTACATACCCTTTATTTTTGTTTTTAATATCTATAAACGTTTAAAAAATGAGAAATCGCCGTCTGTTTGTCATTTAATTGTTTTTATGATAAACAATTTCAGAATGGTTTCAAGTGGTGCATTGCTTTCTGCTTATTCACCCACGTCTCATCTGATTGACAAAGATGCGCCCTCATCATCGTCATTATTTCAAGAAGAGCTTGAAATAGCAAGATCGATGAGGAATGCAAAAATAATAGACCATGATTGTGAACCGGTTAGTTATTCAATATGCAATTGTATACATTCCCCCCACGGATAGTTTTGGATGACATCTTCTTTTTTTCAATGTTTTTGTCTACTTAATCATCTTTTGTCGCTAATCACTCTAGGGACCGATCAGTCTTTTTGGGTCTTTTGAAAAGTCCTGCGTTTGCGCGCAAAATCTTAGCCTCATTATTGTTTAGACAAAGCCCAGCATGCAAAGTTTAGACATTTTCTGAAAAGAATTTTTAAGAGACTCTCGTGCAAAAGTAGAAATGCCACTAGCTGTATAAGGAGATGAAGATAAACCTTCCGAAAAATGACCCAGTTTTGTAGTCTTTCAACCGACTTCATAGATCAAAGACGCAATTTGATAATTGAAAAACTGCTTTTTACTGAGTCGTATACTTCATGTTTATTACTTTCTTAAAAGGTATCTAAAAGTTTTGTATTATTAGTGTAGTAGTTTAACAATTAAATTAAACAATTGAATGTTTCTGTAATTGAAAAGTTATGAAATATTCTTAAAGTTTTCTGTAAAGTAAAACATTACAGTTTCGTTGCATTTTGAAAATGTATATAAATTTATTTATTTATTCACGTTTGAGCAACTTTTCCAACAATTAAGTTTTATAGCAGAGAACGTGTGATATCATAGTTTTTTTTTTAAATGTTCTAATTTATCAAAGTGTAGTATGATATTTTTTGTCTTTCTTCTTGCTCAGAAATTAAAAAAATGATATATTCAGATTTTTTTTATTATTTTTTTATATTAAGGGCATGTGTAGCTATTAAGTTGATTAATAAATTCTTACGTATTGTCCAGTAGAGCGCGTTTTGGTCAACTAAATGTGTTTGCGAAGCGTCATCTCTTTTGTGGTCACTCAATATTTCATCGATCACTTTACGTTTCTTATTTATTTAGTCGGATATTGTTTTTGTATAAAACCAGCGCTGGAGATTATTGATTTCGTTTCAGGCTAACAATCGAGACTGCGTGACATTAAACGTATTCTACCCGATAGATGCTGATTCTCATTCAAATATGATTCATATCGATGTACCAGATACGCAAACTCTAGTCGAAAAATCTGATGGAACTTCCAAATATGTCGTGAGTCATATTCTTTGATTTTGCTTTTAAAATTGTGAGTTGTGACTTAATCAATTCATTTTGTTAACTACAATGATAAAGATGATGATAACGTGTTGCATTCAAAAAACTTCAAAACGTTTTGCCGCCGATCTATTAGATTTATTGATTTTTAGGCATACAACATTTATATCAATGGATGGTTTCATTCGAGGGTCCGTTTTAGCCATCTTCTAGAATTTGCCGACATCTTGAAGCATAAGTAAATATATTTATTTTTGTTGGAAAGGAATGGAATAGCAAACTTTCAGATTTGGTCACAAGTACAAAGGTCCCGAGTTTCCGCCGAAAAAGCTGCTTAAGTTAGACTCTAAAGCTGTTGACGAACGTCGCCAGAAAATTTGCAAATATTTTCAAGCAGGTCTGCTCTTCTTCTCATGTAATAATAATGAATCAATAGTAGGTCAAAATCGATTGTCGTGAAAAAGTAGTAAATTAGTTACAATGAAACGCTCACCATCCTCCAAATATATTTTGCTGCAAATTAAATTGCTATGAAAACTCTCAATATGATATTTCAGTCGTGCAGCATCCCGAAATTGCCCGTCATTATTACGTCGAAAAAAAGTTTCTGGATTTCCAAATTGTAAGCTTCCTATATACATTCGATCATTGTTGATTTCATTTCAGGACTCATTCCGCGCAACAAGTAACTATGTCACAATTGACGTTTTCTTAGGGGATGGCGAGAAAATTCTTATCAAGTGCAACATTTCCGACAGCACTAATGACGTTATGAAAGTAATTAAATGCATAAATCTTAAGCATATCTCCGTAATTTTAGATGATCGCGGAGAAACTGGGATTTTCGAATTCTGACAAGTTCATCTGGAACTTCGGATTGTTTATGGGTCGCACACGAGACAATTCCACACCAACATACTCAATATCTCCAGACAATTTTGACCCTATAGGTTGCTTATTCCATGTTTATCTTTCAAGTCATTTTTTTTAAGTGATCCGTCTTTTGAAGAACTTTGAAGCTCCATATATATCGTTGAGCACTTCTAACCAAAGGTTCGCAGCTGACGGAGTTTACCATATATTAGTTATTAGGTTGGGAGTAAAGCATAAAACTGCCAAAAATAACAGTTTTCAGAAAACTGATTTGGGATCCACGAGCCGAAGAGCCACTTCTTGATGATCGCTTATTTGTGAATCTACTTTATCGACAAGCCAGTCAGGACTACAGAAATGGTCATATTACTGGAGTTAAAGATGAGGCAGAGGTCAAGTTGAGAACGATCATCGAGAAAGGAGAGAGAAGCGATGAAGCTATGGTAGGCATTTTAATGAATATAAAATCAACAATGTTTCTCTTCAGTTTATACGTTCGTGTCATTTGATTCCATCCTACTCGTATGAGATTCTTTCGGACTGTATCAGCGATTTCCCAAGGCCAAATACTCGCGCTGGGGTGAAGTTCGGACGTCGTCAAATGGTTTTGACCTATAAAGACGAAAACGTAAGAATGGAGCAATAAGTAGGGTAAACACAATGATCGGTTTAGGGAAAACGTGCTCAAAGCATTTTCCGAGCCACAAGAATCCGCATCTGGAGAATCACGCAAGTGCTCGAAAAAGTTTCGTTCCAATTTGAATATTTAATGGCGAGAGATAGCTTTGAGTGGATTACGTTGCAAACTGATCAAGTGAGTTTGTGGGAAAAAAAAACAAAAATTGTTAAAACAACCGATGTTCTAATTACCGTATTGGAACGTGTTTTGTTTAATCAATTTGTTAAATGAAAACTAAATTTTTTTAAAATATTTAACAGAATATAGATTTTTGTAATTATAAATCGTGGGTATAACTTATATTGCAATAATTAAATGAATAATAAAAATTTTTATGCAGCACTAAGCCATTCTTTAATTTACAAAAAAAATAAATATATGATACTGCCAGTGAATTGAGCGTACTGACCTAGGCACTTTCTTATCAATTTCCAAACACATAAAATGATTTATTGGTGAAAACTGATTTATTTTAGGCCATTCTCATGTCTCAACTTCTCCAATCAATTGGTGCCGAAATCTTATACGAGCACAACAGTCTTTCGGTGAGAAAAATGAAAATGATTAAAATTGTTTTTTGTTTATACAGGTCGAGCAACAGATTTTGAAGGAAAAATCATCTAAGGGAATGCTTGTTGAAAAAGACGAGTCAGAGATCGTGCCGGTTGTGAAGGTACGTAGATAATCGCCGTCAGAGAATAATGATAATTAGTAAGAAAAAATTCAGAGAGACCCAAAGAAGCCGATCATAGTTTTGAAAAATGCGGTTGAAGGAAACAATCCGTTGGATGCATTAAAGAACATCCAATCGGCTAGAAAAATGAAGACTACCATATCGGTTTTTTATATTACTGTTGACATTTAAAATGAAAATTTTTTTAGGAAGAAATTCCCCAGAAAAATGAAGCCTTCTCAAATATCACGGACGAAGATTTGTAAAATCAACAACATACATACATCTATTTACTATTACAATTTCTAAACCAAAAAATAATTTTACAGACCCAGTAGTTTTCCTTCAAATATTCATTTTGTCTTCCTGTGCAAATAATTAGGCTGTGCTATAATACATTTATGTGTCAGATAACTCCCAAATTGAAGTATAATTTTCTCCTGTTCGTTTATTTCATGTCCTGTGATTACATTCTATTGTTTGTAAAATAGGATCAGCATATTTGATTATTTACATTTATACAAAAATGAAATTCAAACATTTAAATGCAAGCATTACGGAATGAAAGATAAACAATAATGGCAATTTATCATAAATATAAATGATGTCAAAACAATTTTTATAGGGATAGATATTTTTATAGAATCATTTATTTGTTCTTAAAACAGCTTTCTAGTGTCATTATTGATGTTGATTATTGAGTGATGCCTTTTTTCAAGTCGGTGATTTCAATGTGAACCTGGAGATCAAACATTAATTTTCAAACAAAGAAGGGCAATGAACACCTGATTTTTGGGGACTCGTGCGAATTTCATATCCTTCAAGTACATCGAGTATTTGTAAACCACGAAGGCAACCCAGATGCTTGCGGCAAGGCCAAGGAGCGACAAAACCATGGTTACTGCCGAAACAGCTTGGATATCTAAATAATATTTTACAAAGTTTTCAAATGATGTTCGCACCTCCGCGATTCTCAGCAAGTCCAAAGTCGGCAGACGCGGTGTTGTTTTGGGAGACAACGAAGTTGTTGACCAATTTTCCGGTTGTTCCACTTGGGTCGATCAGCGACCAAAGTGTAAAGACAAAGAAGACGATCGAGACAAGGGCTCCAAATGCCTGAAAACCGAAGACACTGTTCAAATTCCACAATTCATTCCAACATCACGCGCTTTACATTTTTCACATATTTTCATCACAGCTGATCGTTAACACGACCGACAATCTCTTTTCACTTTTTCTTTTTCTTTTTCTTAATTGCCTTTATCATATGTGGCCACCACACCTTTTTACACAACATACCGCAATTCCAGCAACAGGGAGCAGTAATTTCTCCTTTTCAGCTTTCATCGCAATGAACAATGCGAAAGCGCAGGCAAGAACACCAAGAAGGAGAAGGCAGTGGATGACGAAAGTAGTCCAGGTTCCGACGCTATAATGTTTCCTTCATTACAAAGTCAATGTGCTCATGAAACGAACTTCCAGTTTAAAATCAAAAGGAGAGCACCTATGATGACAACAGCAATGAGAAACCCTAGAATGAACTTGCAGCCTTGCTGAAGATTACGACTTTAAGCCATATTAAGTTATATTCTTCAAGGAATACCTTGACATGCATTTTGTTGCAAAGGCATTTGTATTTCGGATCCGTGTGTCTGAATGGCTCATGATCAAAAGTCTTGGCGATATCCATATCTGAATTTTCGAACATTACAAAAGCACTTCACTTTTATGTTAATATTGCGAAAATGTAAGCACATAAAACGAGCAAGATACCTTGAGGATTACGACCATATTGAATATGGGAATGGGTAATTCTGGGTGATTCATAGGAGCCATCATATTTGGCATTAGCATGATGTCCGTTATAATATTGGCCTCCACCATATTCATGTCGGCTATTTCGATCGTCATACATCATTTTGAGAAGAAAATATTTGAAATCGTTGTGCGAATGCGATTTGGTTGAAGACTAACTCGCAATTCACTTATCATCAAAGGTTAAAATTTCAGTATCACATTCTTCGCCGTGTCTCCACCCAATCTTTTGTTCGATGTTGTTTTCGACGTTCACGAGACCCGACGGCCGGCCAGAAAAATAAATGAGATGCGTCAAACATAATAGTATGTTGAAAAGTATTTGAGACGAAATGCCTATTAGAGATTTTACAGTCTCGGCTGTGGCATCATTTACAGTTGAATCAGGTTTTTTGAAGGCAATTTTGGCCGCCACTTCAATGTCCGTTTTCTGTATGTGCCTACGCGTGTTTAACCTATGTATTTCAACAAACAAGGTAAAATTGGAATACATAGAGGGACAAAAACCGAATGGCAAGCAAACACAAAATAAAAGTTGAACACGCTGAATTGCATTTAAAATGAGAGGAGTGACTTTTTAAGGTGATTAAAAAAAAGTCAATCCATGAATTTTCAAGTACTATTGCTTCACTTTTTTTTTAGCAAAACGGCAAATCAAAATTGTCCAAAGTGAGAACGTTCGAGAAAACTTCATAAAATACATTGTTGTATCTTATCAAAGTTTTTTCACAGCAATAATACAAGAAACATTGAAATTATATTACTTGAAAAAAGTATGATAATTAAGTACGTGTTTTTTTTCGTTTTGGCACATTCAACACAATCTTCATCATGTTTCATAATATCTCGAATGAGTAGTTTGTTTTGACTAAATACGAATGACCGTATATCTTAAAATTGAATGTAATTTCGATTCAACATTGATGTTTTAAACATAATTTTGGCATGCATAAAGTCAATTCGTTTCATTCCGACAACAAAGGTCACCAAGATGCGACAATTAGGCACCAATCAAATGGTTAGATCATTGCGGAAAATTTATATGTATAGACAAAGAAAATCCGCATGGTGTAATTTGAGAGAACAATTCTCAGGTCATCGTGCCAAAGAAATTCGAATGCCAACTTGGGCAAATACAACGAGGTCTAAAATGCAGTTAGTCATTAGAATTAGATAGTTATTTGACAAAAAAAGTCTGCGTTGATTTTATAAAAAACAAAAATGAACCTGTGAGTTTATCTACTAGGCAACCGCTTTAGAAAAAAGTTTTGCTACTGCAAATCAATTTACTTAATTGGCATAATTAAGAATTGCTACAGTGTGAAGCTTTTACTAGTGTTCCCAGAGAAAATTGTCTTGAGAGGGGGAAAAAGTAAATCGTACGTCTAGAAGGAAACGGAAGAACGGCAAATCCGAGGTGCGACGAACGGGCCACATCTGATGAGGCACCACCTATCCGACGTCTTCGCATTTTTTTTTCTGCCAGCAATGTCCGCGCATTTTTACTTTTCAACGCATAACTATAGCATTTGTATTATGTGACAAATGCTATCCATTCGATTTTACGCCTATTTTCACGTATGTATATGTATGCATGTTTTCTGGAAAATGCTTGATATGGTTTAGAATATGAATCGCGAATAGACTACATTAATGGATTTTCGACAATGGGAAAAATGTTTTATCGGTTTGAATGAAAGAAATCGAATAAAGTGTGGAATATAGGAAATTGTCTCATGAATTCATGACATGGCCACAAAAGCATTGCCACTATTACCAAATCTCACTGCACAAGTCAGATTTTTTAATGAAAAATCTGAAACACTACCCACAAAACTGTAATGGTTTTCAAAAATCGACTAGTCTTCGAAACATTCTTTCATGTTGTAGAACGTGTATTTAATTAAATTTTATCAAACACAATAAAGTTAAAGAAAATTAGACATATCATAACGTAGAACAATACGGTTGGAACGGACAATATTTTTTTTTCAATATGACAACTCAAGGAATGCGAACGTCAAAACAAAGTATTTGCAAAAAATAGCTTTCAATTCCTTGGCGAATTGTTTGATTTCAACCAAATTGGAGAGATGAAATAATTGAGAGATAGGATTTTTTTAATTTAAAAGCGAAAATATGCAATCAAAAGAGACACGCAAAAACATGATTCACACACATACGTGCGAACCGAATCTTGCGATAAATCTATATAATCGCCCTCCCCCTTTGAAAATGTTGCAATGTCATCGGAATTTTAATCTATATTAATTTCACAGTCCCAAAATATGATCTATTTATATGACATTTTTGTGCCATAAAAATATTTTTACGTCTGGCCCAGACAAAATTCAAATGAAAACTGTAAAAATAAATCTATTGAAATGTGTTATGGTCTACTATTTTCCTTCAAATTTATTGGAAATTTTCAGGTATTGTAAGTTTCGATGATTCATATAAAATGTTACAGAAATATTTTGCCTAGGTGAACTACGACCAAACCTTTTCAACCGCAATCAAGGTTTGGAATGTATGTACAATGTGTTATTCATCATGTGACACGAATGACCCTCAACATTGTTAGTTGCCAGTTTTGAACTCAAGTCATCCGTGTTTCATTCAAATCGAATTTGAAAACATGAAATGATCAGAACAAATGTAATGTATGATTACTGAATTGATGTCTGCATTTAGAATTGAATCATTCATGGTAACGGATGTCAATATTCGATAACATGTGTTTGGCAGGGTAAATGGGAGGTGAAAAATGCAATACTAAGGATAAGGCAAAAATATTTATTAAGATGAAAGTGGGGCTCCAGATTGACTGTTTGCAGTATTACACCAACGTTTGGTTAAATGCGTTTTATATATCAAATGAAAAAATTCGTGCTGCCCAACAAATGTGATTTCTCTATTCTAACATTTTATCGAAAATCACAATTTAAAAGAAAATGAGCATTCTGTCGCACTGAAAAAGTACGATGGTTGAAAAATTATTTTGTAATGGTGATAATTTCATTTAAAACTTCTTGTGATCAAGACTCAGCGGTAATTTCATCTAGTAGGTTTAAAAATCGACATCAAGTAGCGGAAGACGTCGTAAAACCTATCCATTAACGATGAAATATGGCGTTTCGCAAATGTTGGGCAGACTCACTTGTTAAAACACAATAAATACGCACCTTACAAGACAATTTAACATGGCAAAATAGTAATTCAATTTGTTTAAATTTCCCACTACGCAATGGATTTTTTAAAACTTTTAACTTGTTTAAAAAGTTATAATAATTGAAAATATAAGAATTTGGTATCCATTTTCTTGAAAATTGCAAAGATTACATTCAAATGATTTCGTTTCCTAAATTATTTTTTTAAAATAGTGTTGGCTTACAAAAAGGAAAAATGCTAAAATGCAAAAATTCTTTATTTCTCCAAAAAAAATGAAATTTCTCGAAAGAAAGCGCAATTAGTTAGAATTGTAAATTGAACGACTTGGAACGAAAATGAAATAAAAACTTCAACGACCTATTGAAACAGGTAGAGTCGACATAAAATATGCATGGTGGAATTTTTGTACACATCGTCAGTTCAGATTGCGCCATAAGGGTTTCATTCAGTACAGGTGAAACGTGTTTAGACGCTGCCTACACGCAAAATCACCCCCCGGCGGCACGACATAAACTTTTTGTATCGCTGTTTCAATTCGAAACATATGTAGATGTGTATGTATGTGTTACACAATCTCAAGGTGGCTATTATTGATAACAGTGGGGGCGGACAGAAAAAATTAAGAGATGAAGCCCTTCTTTCGATAGATGAGGATGCTTAGCATTTGAAATTGATGACTTGACACACGCAACGACAACTATAATACTTTAGGTTAACGACCTTGGTAGGAAAGCGCAAACCCGACTCACACCAAATATGGTTCGTAATTTAATTGAAGATCTGTGAGATGATAGCGCGGTGCATTTTGAAATTAACAATTTAGCGCGCAAGGTCAAATGCGCATTCTACACTACTAAATCTCACAGGCCGCAAGTTTTTTTTTCGCGAAAAGTACAAAAATAACACAATTATGTGAAAAATTAGTTTTATGCCATTATTAAAAGAAATAAAATAATAATTTTAATGGACAAATGTGCAAATTGCGGGAAGATGCTTGTCTATCTAATTTTTATATCTAAACATTAGGTACATATTTGTAATATGGAAATATAGAATTTTTGTCCTTGACTCAATGTTAAATAATATTACAGCACACAATGTAGAATAAAGAACATAACAATGCCATATAAATACTTGATCAATTCCACTCGCTTCGTGAATGATGTTGTAGTTTCAATGATAGGTCCAGTGGTGCTGAATTGTTCTCTCGTTGGACTAGTCGTTGTATTCCCATTTTTCAAGAAAGTGCATTGACACAGAATTCCCGACGCTTTAAACATTGTAGGGTCAATGCGAGCAAGAGACAGATCCTAAAAAAATAATAGTTACTATTGTTTTCTAAAGAATTTTGTACAATAAATGCTCCATATGTAATGGAACAAGGCTCAGTGGCGTTTCCAACTCCGGCAATTGTCTTGTTATTACCAATGCGTGAATACCAATACCAATGTTCAGTGCATTGCTCTCGTTTGAGACCTAGAAGCATTTTGTGGCCGACCTAAACATTCATCTGTCGATTCAGTTTTTCTTAGAAAATCTGCATTCCTGCACATTATTAAATCACATTGGCATTGTCAGGAACTAAAACGTGTAGTACTCATGAATATTCATTAGTTTCTTTGTAGAAATTGGTTAATTCTTTGAGAATCTATGGTATTATCTAAAGAAATGAAAGTATATAAGTTGATTTTAATTAATTTGATTTTTAAAAACATTTGTTCACTGAATGGTCAATAAAAAAATGAAATACATATTTAAAATGAGAAAAACACACAGTAAAAAGATATTATATTAAAATGAGATCATCTTGTATTTTTCTATATTTCGAATTAGCGCTATTTTAAAAATAAGTATGTCTATCAAGATGAAAATCTTTAACTGCGAATTTCTTTTCCCCAATGGGCCCTATAATCTAGCGTAAAACCCATTATCGCGCATTCAATAAGAGAAGCTACTAGCAATATCCACACGATTTTTTTTGTTACGTCAATTTTTTATATAAATTAATAATTGACTTACACTTCTTATTCCACTATTAATATATGCTTTTAGTAAATCAACATCCGATATAACAGCTAATTGACATTTCGATGCTGAAAATGTGAATCGATTTTTTATTGGTAGCTTATTGTGAAACAAACGATGTGATTGATTGAAAAGCTCTTCACATTTCTGTGGAATAACTTCATCAGTAAGATTGTTAATAAGAACTTGCAAATATATTGAGCACATATTTGCATGATAGTAAGTATTCACATATTCCGACTCTCCAAATTTATTACACGTCTTATATATTCTTCTGAGTCATTATGCGATTAAAATTTCTTACTTCGCACAATTGATTTGTTGAGTCGCAAGCGGTGCGATTACAATCGATAAAACGGAATGTATAGTAAAAAACGAATAAACTGCGAAATTTCATGTTTTAGTTGAATGGCGAATTACTTCATTTCAGTTATGCAATTACGTTTTAATAATATTATTACCTAGGTAACCGTTATTATGAAAGAAAAATAGAAATTCAACATGTGAGCAATCAAGTTTTAAGAAAAAAATGAAAACATTACCCCTAGATTAATTATGAGAATGAGAACAAACATATAGCATTTCAGAAAAAAAATGCGAAACCTTCAAATAGCAACATTTTTTAGGTATGAAGATCGGACATTTGGAGCGACATTTTAATTTTCAGAATAATTAATACACCAGATGTTTCAAAAAAATATATTGTTTATATATTTTTATGAAACAGAAACATTTTCAATTTCAGATGTTTTTAAAACGTCAGTATTATTTTTGTTTCGATTTTAATTACGCATATGAACAATGGTTCGACAATCTGAACATTCATAATAGCATAATACAAATATTAATTTTTGAAGGTTAAAACATCTGCCCTGTATCAATTCTTATTATTGAAAACAGTATTGAGCAACGAAACAAAATGCAATCACAAGACGCTCATTTTCCATTAGAGCAAGGCTGTTTTTATTCAATTAATGGTCCATCTTTAGCACCACTCAATCTCATCAACCCCTTACACTTGACATTTGTCTTGTCGTAAAAGATCTAACTACGTGAACGTGTGAACAAACACGAACGGCACCCTATAATAAGAACAACAACACCAAATGTATCAAATTGCTGGGTTGCCCCTTATTGTGGTCCGCTAGGAAAACGATGGACGCGCATAAACTTGCCATTCTTATTGATTTCTGGGTCGTTGTTCCCCAATTTTAAACATTCCTTTTCTGGAGCATAATATTTAAGAAAAAAATCATGTTTTTGATAGAAACTACACAACAAGTACATATTTAAGTATTATTTTACTTTACTTTGCCGAGATAACGAATTAAGCAATACTTTTCACTGTTCCCGTTGATTATCATCAAATATTATAAAACAAACCGTCATTTTTTTATATCGTAACAAATTACATAACTTTTGTGTTTATTTTGTGTTTACATTAAAAAAATCTCCTTGGTACTACATTTTTAATATCACTTCGTTGAAAAAAGACGCGTTTTACGCATAAGTAATATTGATATCGAAAGGTTGCTAAAGTTTTCATAAGATGGACATTTTTTTGCAGCTGCTGCTGACATAACAATTATTCGATAATGGTTTGAAACTAAATACAAATTGCGATTTGAACTTGGGTTCAATTGCGTTATTTCTGTCACCCATAATTGATGAAGTAAATCTCGATTATCGTACACGCATTCCCAGCATTGCGACATTTGATATCAAAAACACACCACGTGTTTTCTCTCTCAACGAAACCATGTTTCAAAGCAACAATTCTACCCATTTTTCCTCTCTTTTTTCATCTCTCAACTAATTATGTTTGCGTTACGTTAGAGCGCGATTGCTCGGCTCAACGATCAAAAATTTCGTCCTCAACGGTGCCATTTGCTTTTAACACATTTTTTTAAATTATATATTATGTTCAATGATTAATTAGAATATATTTGTATTAAAGGAACCAACATTGAATCGACAATAGGCAGTTGAGCCGTCGATTGGAGTATGTATGGCTGGGCAGATTCGACTGCGATCGAGGTTCTATGTCATACAGGTACACAGGGACGCCTCATAAGTGTTAGAAAAATTCGTTTAGAGCAGTGCGTAGTTTGTGGTGATTTGGCCGACGGATTCCATTATGGCGTGCGTTCCTGCAGAGGTTGTAATGCATTTTTTCGACGAGCCGTTACGTTTGGCATGCAGTTTTCTTGTCGAAGAGGCGGACGATGTCCTGTCGATAAAAGTATATTTCGATTATTCGTTTTCTTTATTCGACTTACCAGTTTGTCTTTCGTTAGATGCTCGTTGTGCCTGCCGCGCTTGTCGCCTAGCAAAGTGTTTCGCAGTGGGTATGGACAAAAAAGGTAATTTTGTTGTTTTTCGGCGTTTGATTAACTTATATATATATATATAAATTAAAGCCGTACAACCGAAACGCGAAGGGACAAATGGCAATGGCATTCAAAGTCAAGATAATTCATTCGACCAAAACGATAGTGAATTGGAAAATCGAAGGGTAGCCTTTTTTTGAAATTAATAGTTACAAAACCGAATGATTTCAGACATCACCATACTTCGACAGCGTTCAACTCACATCACCAGAGTCGACGTATAGCATAAACCACTCTATAGTATGTTTTGGCTTTTTTAATTTTGTGGTTTCTAATTAAATGGAGAATTTCCATTAAAGAAACATAATTGAGACAATTAGAAATGCAATCCTACACAATACTTGAAAAATTTTAAAATTAAATAGTTATTAATTTGAAAAAAGCTGAAATCGATATATGCCAACAAAACGACCTCAATAAAGGAAATTGTTTCGATTTCCGTTAATTCAAGTAAAAATTGAAATGTACTTCAGTATGCTCAATTGACGGATTACACGCCGCTACGATCTCCTTCGCCACCACCAGAATGCCCGTTTTTGTTAAGGCTGTGTTACGAATTCTCAGAAGTAAAACGACGAAGGAAATGTATGCTCTGTAAATCTCTCGAAGAAATACTTACGGAGGTATTGGTAATTAATTATTTTTGGTTACAGATATTACACAATGAAAATTTCAGGATTGTTCAATAAGGGATCCAGCGACTGCCGAAGATTTCACCGTGGTTTTTCAGACGCAGATGATATTAATGTTCGAATGGGTTGAAAAGCTTCCAGAGTTCAAAATGATTCATGACCCTTTAGACAAAGTGAATTTTTATTTTACAAAGAAAAAACAATTCTAAACGCAAATTTAGACAAAACTTCTGAGAGCATTTGCGCTAAGATATATGTTGCTAGACAACGTTTATCACACATATGAGCTGGGATATAATGATAGAGTAAGGTTTCGCAGTAACAATTATGCAAACAATTATATTTCAGCTCGTGTTTGTAAATAATAACTACATTATTCCTGGTCAACCATCTTCTAATTTCAACTCGTGCGAAGTCGTTAACGAAATGGAAATCTGCGCTTTGTGAGTTGTCATTTGAAAGTTAGATATAAAAAACTACATGAGAATCTCTAAACATCCTTTAGTTTTGAAATATATAACTGCGCTGCACAGAAAAATGCCATAAAAATTCCATCGTTTGCAAAAAAAATCAATAAAGTTTTTTTTTGAAGTAAATTAATGTCACAACCACATTATAATATATATCAATTTACATATATGCGTGTGTTAGTGGTGAGTTAAGAAATCGATCGTGATATATCTTTTGCAGAATGTTTGGAGCCCCAATGCAAACGCTTGTGAGTGAACTTGTTTCAATTATCCATGGGCGAAATATTACAATTGGCGAAATCATGACAGTTCGCCGATTGATGCTTTGGAATCCCGGAAGCATCGGTTTATCTAGTAATGCGCAGGCCATTGCTAGCCAAGTAATATATGTTTGTTTACACGCCAAACAAGACAATTTAGGCATCAAATAATGCAATGAAAGAGCTGCAACAATATCTTGAGCAAGAGGGGATTGAACAGAGCGAGCAGCGCTTGGAGTTTCTCTTGCTTTATATTCCTGCACTAACAGTATCACAGAAGCAAATAGAAATGTTTAATAATGGTAATTCGTTCAGAAACATACAAAAACTATGTACGAAATTGTTCGATTAATACCGTCGTTTGGAAAAATGAGCGAATGGAACTCTTTCATGGATGATGTGCTTCGAGGAGTGTGACATCACGTTAAGCTACATGGAAAATATCACATCACCATGACCAGTTCAGTTTTCCTCTGGAAGGGATCTCACTGAAGACTGTTACTCAAAATCGAATATTAGAAGTTTTAGTTGCTAGATGAATGTATGTTATTCTCAAATCAGTTTTTTTTAGAATTTCAAAAATAGTTGCTGTTAAATCACTGTAAAATCAGATAGTCATAAAATAGTTGCCTAACCTAATAATCATTGCCTCGCCAAAGGATGCCTTATCTTCTACGTTTAGTCATAATTATTTTAAACTCTTGTTTTGTTTAAATCTGTTACTTTCCCAGTCATATCTCAATTCCGACTTCAATTCACTGTTTCTTGTTGATTTTCATGTACATATACATTTCCAAACCATTATTCTTTCGTTATAGAATCAGGATCATTACCGAATGTAAATTAATTCCAAATACCCGATTGACTATGTTGTTCTAAAACCTGTTACTAACTACTAAATCATTGTTTTTACTGATTCTCAATAAACGCTTTCTCGTGCCTTTTAAACAGATTGCAAATAAATTGTATATATTTCCGTAATTTATGATGTGAGCTCAAATAATACAAATTTGATTTAGTAATATATTAGAAAAATGGACCTATTTAATAGTGAGGATCCATGGATTTGTCGTCAATGAAGCGAGGACTGCATTTTCAAACTTTTTTTTTTATTAAACTTTGTCAGTTGCACTACTTTTTTCTTGAGTTTTAATATATTGTTTTCGATTGCAAAGCGAAAGTTGAAGAGTTTTCTATCTTCTTTCAACTCAACGATAATTAAACTCTTCATTTATTTGGTTACATCAACATTAAAATTAATATTGAGGCTTCACGTATGCGTTAGTTAGTGATAAAGTTATTAAAGCCTTTTTCTGTTTCTTTGATTTGTATTAATGGAGACAAACAATTAAAAAAACAACTATATTACCTGTTTATCTGCTATTTACTTTAAATATACAGATATAGATGATACTGAATGATTAATCGCTTGACAAATTCTTGCCTTCAAACTCTCATTTTACAAGAATTTAATTTTTACAATAACAAATTCATTAAATTAATATCTTACAAATGGTAAAGGAATTTTTATAATCAATAAAACGTTATTCATGTTTTATCGACATGTTTCACGCAACTAATCGCTTGATAATTAAACACTCTCCTCCGAAATTCTGATAGGAATATTGCGAAGAAGAGCACTTTCTCAACATATCTTATTAGAGAGTCCCATTCGGTCTGAGTTTGATCAAAACAACACGTGTACTGTTTTGCTGTCGGGGCAGACTACAAATTTTGCGCGCGAAAATTTACGTGTCTAGATTGCACATTGCGCGCGAAAAAAAGAGTATAAATAGGGGTCATCGTAGCCCCCTGTCTTCACTTTTATCATTCATCCGCTTTGGTTTCTGCTCTCATGTGCACTGCTCCCAGGATGCTGATCGTCTTCTCTTTTGTGATTGCGATCATATCTGTGGCCAATTGCTTGCCGTTGCTCCAATCGAAGCATTTCGATTCGGAATGTAACGTCGAGAACTGCTTTGGTGAACCACAGAATTGCGATCCGAAGACCAGCTGCCAATCCCTGATTCAGGTGGCTTCTTATTTTATACATTTGACGTTTCTTTGCAAATGTATCCATTCTTGCAGTTTGAAAATAATGGTTCTGTGAAGCTACTCCTTCGCAACTTCTCGGATCCATACTCCTATGCTGCATTTGCTATTGGAAGGAAAGCTGATGATACAATCAACTATTTGGTCTGCCTGCCTCATGCCTTAAAAAGCTTCCGGGCCAACGCTGAACTTGGCAAACCAATCACCATTGTTGAGACGGATGCAGACATGCCAGTTGATAAGCTTGGTGATGATGTCTACGTCTGCCGATATCCAGCTTCGGAGATTCCAGACTCTTTCAAGAACGATCAGACGTTTTTTGTGAATCGTGGAAAATTCCATGGTAGCCAACAGTTGTAATTTCTACCACATTGTGCCACATTTCAGATAACCTCGTTATCTACGATGGCGAGCAACTTTTCTCGTTCGACTCGACTCCAGGTGATGATGATTTTGATGAAAATGACGACTACTACAACGCCGAACCCCCAGTCGCGATGGGTCTTGTTTCTCTACGTCTTGGAGATGAAAAGTCCATTGCGTTTACAAAGGATGAAAGCAAAATGGCTTCAGACGCCATCACTTCTCTCCGCAAGATATCGGACGACGATGATGATTTCGCCATGGACTTTGTAAGATTTTATGTATCTAAAAAAGATAAGGATTGACCTTGAACTCTTGTTTTTGCACAGTGTTTTTTTTAATTAAAACGTAACCATATGCCCACGCAAAAATCAGATTAAAATTGATATTTGCAGGAAATTGTCGAAAAACAAACTAAGAGAAACTCCAAAAAAAGCCAGAAAATTATTGATCATGAAGAGGAAGACGATTCCGAAAAACAACTTCCACCAATAGATGAGAATGAAGAAGAGGACGACCAAGATGACGATGAGATTGAATCATCGAGTCATCGCAATAAAATGTCACGCAACAGTCGCCGTGGAAAGAAAACTTCCCGTAATGAGGACGATCATGACAACACCGACGACGATTCTGAAAAACGACGAAAAACATTTCTGAAATCCATCCGTCGCTCCAAGAAATACGATGACGAAGATGACGACGTTGAATCTTCCCGGCGTTCAAGAAAATATGACGACAACGATGGCGAGGAAGACGAAGACTTCGATGACAAGGTCGGATTAGCTAACAATTACCGTCAGTAATTGATTCCATTTCAGCCAAGAAAGTCTAAACGTCCATCCAAGTCTCGTAAAGTTGATGATGACGACGAGGATTTTGATGATGAAGAGGCTGAAGACAACAGTCGGCCAAGAAAGTCGAAAGGTCGCAAGTTCTACGAGAGTGATGACGAAGACGATGAAGTTGGACACTACAACACTCGTCGTCGTGATCACAAAAATCGCCGCATCTACGACGATGAAGACGAAGACGAAGAGGACACTTCCCGCAAGTCCCGCAAAAATAAAGACAAGAAGAAGTCCAAGAAAAATGATGAAGACTACGAAATTGAGTGAGATTCTAGTCTAATTTTAATGCAATAAAATATTCATTTTTAGAGTGGACGAAGAGGATGACGACTATGACGACGCCAACTCCATCGGCCAACACTTCTTCCTCGAACTCTTTGTCCTGTTCATCGTTCTCCACCAATTGTTCTGATTGAGCCTTACCCTTTGTATATACAAATATGCCCAGCCGGTCCTTTTCTTTTTAAGAATATGAATACTTGAATCGAACATTTATTTTTGAATATGCAATAAACATAACGGAAAATAATTGATGGTGAAACATTAGTAATTGGTAAAGAAAAGCAAGAGAAGCACAACAACGCTTATAATAGTGAATATGAAAAAATGAATTTCGCGACCTGTTCCGTTATGCAGCTTCTGGTGAGCAGCGATAATTTTATGATTCTGGAAGTCGTCCGGCAAGTCGATTTGAATTGCAGTCTGCGCTTTGCCGCTTTGAATGATGACACCACCTGAATAAAATCAATATATATTTGTATCTTTAAAAAAAAAAGAAGGCAAACGTGCTCACTTTTTTTGTCATTGGCTGAGTCTCCGATCTTCTTGAATCCTTTGAGGCAGCTCATGATGAGAATAATCTTGGCAGTGGAGAAGAACGACGAAAAATTTGCTTCTTGAGAGCGTTTGAAGGCGAATGGTCCGACGAAGATAGAGAACGTCGCAGTGACCTGTTTCTGTACTGTCTCGGTTATAATAACACTATTGGTGTGGTTTTGCACCCTGCGTACTCCCATAGTGAGGAATAAGGACGCAACGCATCACACCAACGACACCGGCGCGTTCACCCAACATCCTTTCTTTCAAACGTTTATTGGTTTTGTTATGCCGACGAATTGTTATGTAATGTGGGAAACAAGTACTATCTTCCTTAAGGCAAATATTTGCATGCAGCAAAAAGAAGGAAAATAACGATAGCAATTATGATTACATACGAAAGGAATTGTTTCGAATCCTGATGAATATGATTGACTGGACGAACTGCCGGCCAAACAACAACTGAAATTTTTTTAATCATGCGATATTACATACAATATATTAATTTCTTTTTACTCATGTGTTGGATGAATTATGCTTATCAAAATTTATTAAACTCGTCTGCTGATATTTCCTACCTTGTTCATGCTTCAATGGAACCATGTTCGGGATGGCTCCACAATGTTGGCATTGCTTGTGGAAATGCACCGATTCCTTATCTAAAAAGTCATTCTCTGAGAAATATGCGTTTGAAATATCTACGCATTTCGGAGATCTTCTTTTTGGCTTTCGCATTTCCTGGGTCCATGTATGGTGGAGGAGTCGTAACGTTAACATCCTCAACACTTACTGCGGTGTACTCGGTCATTCTTCAAAAACAAAATCCTATTTCAAAATGACTGGAAAATAAAGTCAACGGGAATATTACAGAAATGTTGTTCGCGCGACAGCGAATCTCGTGACACTGAAAAATGGAATTGAAGAGAGAGGAGGATCGCGACCATGAAGAATATTCGGGCCACAACCTATCGACCGTATCGCGGTCTCTTTTACAAACTTGTTTTCCATCGTAACCATAGTACATTTTGAAATGTCGAGGGCCCAACGAAGGTTCAGCGTAAGAAGTTATAGAATAAAGCAAAAAGCAAAATAACATATTTATTGATACCACTTTAGAAAAAATACACATCAAGGAAGATGGAATTGTTATGTCTCACTCAAAATAATTTCTAAAATATATTAAAAAATGTGAATTAATGTATGTTTTTAAAATATTTAAACAATAACCACGATATTTTATATATGAATAGCAATAATTTTAAAATGTTATGCACTTCCCCGTCTTTGATTGTCTTTCCATTATCGCTAAGTAAAGATATTTTTCTATTGCGGTACCAAAAACCCGATGTAAAATGCATTCAAAATATTATCACATTTAGTAGCGGATATCATTAAGCCTTCAGCATACTGATTTTCGATTCAACGACGCAATTTGCACGGTTGCGTGAATTCCCTTCATAATTGTTTCTCTTTGTTCTATACGCAGAACTGCAGTCTTTTTTCGGAACTGGTTTCCTTCTGCAATTACTATTTTGAAGTGTTGATGGATTCAGGTGACGGAACGATTTTCGACACTACTCTTTGATATGTACAATCTTCGCGATGATGTTGACAACAGAAAAAATTGTTTTTTTGGCAATATTTTTTGGTTCAATGATTTTAAATTGGCAGAAGTAGTTTTATGAAATCTAGCTCGAAAAATTTTCAAGTTTTTTTTCTTTTTCAAACATGAGAAAATCGGCTGAGAAACATATTTACCAAGCATGGTGTATAATTAAAAGCAATTGTACGCGTTTGATGGTGATTCAAACATATTTTTTTGAAATAAAATACTTACATTGAATTACGATGATCGATAATGACGAGAATCACCTCTCGAGCAACGAAAACTCCAATAATTCTAAAATAATACATTTTTGATTTCTCAGTTTTTGTTTTTCACTCACAGCCAAATGAAAAAAAGAAATAATAGCAATGCAGATTCTAAAGCGTTTTGCCATTGGTAATAGTCCTCGTCCATTACTGCATTCTGCTAGCGGAAAACGGTGAGCGTCGCGGCCAAAAGATTACGAATCTTGGCAGTTTGAAAACTGAAAATGAGATAATTCACAATGATTTTATATGAAAATTTAAAGTGAAGAGATGTGATTTATGACTCAACTGGAAATTGGGATCCAATAGGAAATAAACAAATTTTTTATAAACAAATAATGATATCGTTTCCAATTTCCTTTGAACATGTGTTAATGCTTATTAAGTAATTGCAGAGTAAAAACAAGTGGGTGTGGTAAGCCTATGGGAACAAAATAAATTTCCATTATATGCTGAAAAAAATTTAATCGCCTCTTTTTAAACAAATTGTGGAAATTGTGGAAGACACGGCTGAAAATTTTGCAACAAAAACATTTTGAACATAACTGGAATCAGGGAATATATTTTATAGTTACGTCTATGTAGATTAAAATCGATTACCTAAATCAGAGTGCATCAAGAAATCAAAGTTTGATATCAATTACTCATGAGTCTAAAACATTACGAATGAAAAAATCATGACTGCACTCTGTGAATCTAGCTATTATTTTGACTCCTTTTCACAGCTATAATCTTCTACGTAGCTCAATAAAATAACGCAGACAAAACCGCGAAAAATACCCTCGATGCACATCTTTTAGTAAACACCTATTATGAGGCACAATGCTGAAAACATGTATCAACAAAAATTTAGGGGTGTGTATTTAAAAAATATAAGTCTAAGCTGCTAGGAATCGGTTTGCAAAGATTCTCGTCAACAAAAACTAGTGTAATTGAATTGAGCATCTGGTATTAATAAAAAAAGCTTTTATGTCAATGTATGAATAATTTATGGTATTTGTACTATAATCGTTATGTGGGCGTAGTGAAGAATTGAGCTAAATGTGGGGCTCTTTTTTGTTTTTCAAGTTTTTCTGCTTGTTGTTGTTTAAAAGTCATATAAAAACGAAATAAAACAAAACAAATTGAGCCCAAAAACAAAATGAAAATCGTGAGTGAAAAATGCAATTCGACAAATGAATTTGAAAGGTGTCCAGAATGACAGAACTCGCACATGCGGCTAACAGACGAAGCCCTCCCATACTCGATAGCGCATTTAGCCGTCTCCCGTTTTTTTTTTTGAACACCAACCAAGTTTCAAAGAGCACTTATTGTCTCAGCAGCTTTCTTGCTGCATCCGAAATCCGCCTTTTAGAGACTGATCGTCAAAGTATGATTAAAGAAACATTGAGCAATGTTGTTCACAATATTTTCAAATGTGATATTCCGTCTTTTTTACATATCTGATTATTGGTGCTATTCGTCACGCATACCCACATATTATCAACGATTGGAAAGTTCGAAGCGATTATTCACAAATTGCTGATATTAAAGATAAGAAGTTACATATGCTTACGAAGGAATGAAATCGGTTAGAAAACAAATTTTTCTAAAAGCGCAAAATTAAATGTGAAAGATAAAGCAAAACAATTGTGAAATGCAATAAGATAAGAACAATTGGCGTAATTTAGAATTAATCTACTCATAAGCTTTCAAAGTCTTAATTTTGTTCACATCGTTTTTCTAAAGGTCCCGAATTGACACAGATACCAAAATGTGAAAGAATGCACAGTGATCAAAGACCATCTTCATATAATATGAATTCGAAGCATGGGAATAATGTGAGTTAGGTTCAAGTGAGAGATACACGTTCATATATTTCAAAGAGGAACTATTTGGAAATTCCTTGCATTATACGAGAAAAAACAGTTCTGTTATGTAGAAAAAAATGTAATTGCTCTTGCTTTTTTCATGAAAATTGCTTTTTATTACTCCATTTTACCAAACCACTTGACGGATTGGAGAAAGGAGAAGCATCTATATCACGGAATAGTGTTCTAGAAAAATAACAAACAATTGTTGACGTATTGATTGTTTGGAAACTTAAACAATTCTGAAGAGAATATTTCAGACCTAACAATGTTCCAAGTTTATATTTTGGAAAAAAAAAACTCGGCGAAATGGCTGACTTCATAATGAGAGTTGGAAACAATCTTTTTGAAATACGTTTTATGTATATTTGAGAAAATATCGATTTTGAGTGAAAAATGTTCAAAGACCTTCTTTATATATATATATATATATAAATACAATGCGCGTAAAATAAATCGGTGTTTCAAACGTTTGCCTAAGTAAAACTATTTATGTGGCCAAGAAATCAAAATATGAATCTTCTCCCCCATTAGTCGATAATTCCGCAAATATTAATTACATTATTTACATATGTGACATCTTATGATCGGTGGTTTATTTAAAAAAAATTTATTACTAGTATAAATAAATCAATTCATAACAACCAGATACTAAAAATAGAATATTAATTAATGGGTTAAATTTTGATTAATAATTTGATTACATGCAAACAATCAATTAAATTATGAGAAATTTCTAATTGTATCCACGTATGTGAAATTCTCAAAATCATGATCATGATGAGTTGGCTCCAAATGTTGAGGGGCAAGTGACGCTATAAATGTGGATTGTATTAATGTGAATTGTAATTAATCATCTACCGGGGTTGATTTGAATCTCCATGAATTCCTTTGAAATATTGGATGTATCCATTTGATTCTTAATTTTTGGAATGAATGGCGCTTTCAGTTCTCGATTTAATAGCTTTTCCCAATCTATTGGAGCAAAAAATTGATGATCTCTTATATCCAAAAAATCGTTTTTATGACCCAATCTCTTTGATCTGTCTTTTTGAAGAAGCTGGAACAAAACAAAATTAATAATTTGACCTATTAATAATACCCCAGTAATCAAATCATTGCATGGTGCTGAAATAGTATGCTTCATTCTCAATGGCTGATTCACGATTTTATCGTACATTTCGTTGTGGTCCTTGGAATAAAATGGAGGCTAAATTGCTTTTTGCCTATTGAAGTCACATGTTGATTTATGAACATACTAGACCGAAAATCATTTCATAGAGAACGGATCCGAGACACCACCAATCAACCGTCTTGTCATATGGTTTTTTTAAAATAATTTCTGGTGCCAGATACCTGAAGAATTTTGATAAATTGATAAATTGGGAGTGATAATCACTCAGGAGTTCCGCAAAATGTCGATGTCGTTTTACTTCCAATCATATCCTCTTTACACAATCCAAAATCCGTGAGCACCAAATAACCTTGAGCATCGAGCAGAAGATTTTCTGGTTTCAAATCTCTGAATAACTAATTTCAGGATCAAAGACGAGATGAAAGGAAACCTGTAAATGATGTTTTTCTCGTGTAAATACCCAAGGGCAGATGCAATTTCAGCCGCGTAAAAGCGACTTCTGGATTCGCTGAAATGCTTTTCACGTTGCAAATGGGAGAATAGCTGGAATTAACGCTAAAATCATCAAAATTTCTGGTTTAATTGTTTACTTCTCCTCCGTTCAAATGATCTAATACAAAATATAGTTTATCCTTATTCTGAAAAGAAAAATGAAGCGAAACCAAAAATGGATGATGGAAGTTGCTAATTAAGACATTCCTTTCTGCCATAACATGCTTCACCTGAAATTTTTTGTTACGCTGATTATTTTTTAAAGTTATTTTTCACGTTTTGTTATTCTATTTTTTTTTTAAATAACACGGACAAATTTCAAAGAAGCGCTGTAATACTTAAGAAGGCGATGGTCAGAATGTAATAACCTCATTTTTCTTTCTTATGTGCTCCTTTGACAATACTTTCATAGCATACAACTTTTTGGTTTCCTTGTGGCGGACTTGATAAACTCTTCCAAAACTTCCTTTTCCAATCGTCGTCAAAAAGTCGAAATCTTGAGGGCAAGCGCTGAACGAGATTTAACTGAGATGTATGAACATATTTATTACGTTTTTCTTTCACTGGGACCCAAGTCCACCATATTTTCCTCGTCAGAATCATTCGATTCAAGGTGAAAGAATCGTCGAATCTCCTCGCTGAATAAAATCAGAAATCTTAGATTCCTACTAACAAATGATTACTTTCGGATATGTGAATCGATCAAATGCTGAGAAATAGCCTGTATCCATTGTCTTCTTTTTTCGTATAACTTAGTTTCAGCTTGAAAAATCTTTTTCTTTGGTGCAGTTGCAACAGTTGCAGGCAGCAAATCTTTTACCTAAAAACCGATTTATTCGAGATCATAAATAATTTTCTAAAGTGAACCTCCTGAAAAAATCTATCATATTCATCAAAAGGTTTCTGAATGACAGGGCCGTTACCGATACGTAGCGCGTAAACCTAAAACAGATAAGAAAAAAAGAAATAATTGATTGAATCCTCACCACAGTTTTTTTGTCATCACCCACTATACAATTACAGGAAACATCGTCTTTTCTAACCATTCTTGATGCTATAATTTTAAAATGTTAAAAAATCAAGGATCTATTAAAAAATTATTTGTTCGTTTTATTTTCAAAAAATATTACTCCAGAATAATCGAAACTATAAACATATTTTTGTTTCCATTACAAGAAATTGTGAATTCGAATAATTAAAAAAAAGTAAATTTTAGGTCTCATAGAAAAAAACGGAGGCAACATGTGACGCAAAACGAATGAATGTATATTTAGAAACGATGTATTAATTTCCGGGCCGCTTCGATACGCGAATGAATTATCAGTATTAGTGCGATCAATCAGCAAACCTCTTTTCCAAGACCGATAAGAGCAACTGATCTGATCTTTTTCAAAAAACCAAAAGAAAAAATGGGCAATTTTTCAGTTTGAAAACTTACGTGAGTCACTGAAACTATCCAATTCTACAAGGACGTAACGCGGAATTGCTACAGATTGAATTGACCTGAAATTCATGCAATAATGTAAATTTTTTATTGACATTGAAATATGCAAATTCGACAGAAAAGAAATTATAATCGCAAAGATTCTGATTATCAAAGATCAGCATTCCTTGACTCTTTGATTCCATGATCGCTAAGTCAACAAAAAATGGTAATGCACTTTCTTGAGAATATGATGTTGATTCCACTGGAAAGCACAAAATAGTGATGAGCTCTGCGTGATTCGATTATAAGAATTATGAATATCAAGAGAAAATCGGAAACATTTTAATTTGAGTCATGAATGCTGAAAAATGTGAAAATCGAAATTGCATATCATATGATTTTAATGGCAATAAATGATTAATGACATCACTTTTTATTGTTTAGCATGAAAATATTGCATCTTTAAAGTAGTTGGTATATTTCAAATCAGCACATTTCCACTATGAAGCATGTTGGTATTTCATCCATGCACTCACTGCATAATGTAGAATCGAGATTGGAAAATTGTAACTTGCAGGATTAGTTTAACTCATTCTATATAATTAATTCTTCGAGCTAATAAATGATATTTTTTTAATCGGAAAATAAACCTGCTGAAGCTAGTGAAAAATTAAAAAATAACTGCAACTTCATGATCTACATATGAAAGCATGTTATGATTTTTCAAACTTTCAAATATCCACTTGTAAAATTATTTCGAAATAAATAAGTAAAGCCCAGATAAATGTGGATGTCTAAACTCGTTTAATGGCTGCCAATCCACGCTTTTTACCATTGCACTTGAGAAGAAGAAAAAACATAATGGATTCCAATGTATTATCTGACTCGAAGCTTTTCTGACTCATTTCTTTCGGCTCGTTTGAAATTTTTTTAGTAGAAACTAAATGAAAACCCTGAGATTATTAATAGGTGTTCAATGGGGTTAACTGAATTTGATTAGATATTTCAATTATATTATGTATGGAATTGGAAGAATCAAATGCAAACTTTATTATTTGTTGGTTTTTAAAAATAACGTTGAAAGAAAAGACAAGAAAATGCATAGAAACATTGGAGATGGTGATGATTTTTGGTGACCTCATCGGATTCGGAAGAACTTATGAATTGGTCTGGCTTTGACGTTGAATGTGCGTGGCTCTCTCCTGCAAGATGCGAAAAAAAGAGTAACATCGAAAATGTTCAACAATGCTTATTTTTTGCCTGAGTTCATATGTCACCGCGCTTCGAGACTAGGCGAGGGCAACCAGACAAAAAAATTTAGGCTTTTTGGGCCGTCATGGGAATATGTTTTCCGTTCGCACGATTTTTGAGTTTTCTCGGTTCGCCCCAATTTTTTTTTTGCTATTTCGACTTTTCTATCTGCTTTTTTGTGTTCCAAATGACGTATTATCGAACATTATTCCTTTTTTTTTTGAGTGTTTGAACTGAACTTGCTCGATTTTTTTGGAAATATGAGATGGTGACAGCATTACTCCGATTGGCGCGCAATAAAGCAAATGGATTCTTACCTCGCCACGGTTGTTGTAGAGAATCGTCTGCACGTTCGAGCCGACGCCGAAAGTGTCTTCCCCTTCGAAAACGAGAACACCAGGAGGATTAGCGACGCCATGTCCGCGAGCGAAGATCTGAAAAGGATATTTTTTAAAAATATTGTACTATTCCTATTTGAAAAGTTCCAAATTGATACAATGACCAATCTATTACTTATTATCTTGTAGGTAAATTGACCTTCCCTGATGATGATCTAAAGATCGAAACGTCGGATAAAAACATTTAAACAGTGTGCAAGACAATTAAAAGGGTCCTATCAAGAAGATCTCTTCTACTTAACAATAATCCACACGATGCACTCAAAACAAGCTCCACAACTAACAAAACAATGTCTAATATTCATAATTGTCCGAATTTAGTGGAAAATTTCATTGAAATACATATAAATTGAAAGTCAACATATCATTCGATTTCTTGCAGTTAAACTTAAAAGAATCTTTAATTTTTGATTTCACTATGCTTTTAGAAACATCAAAAATCACCAAAAATTATTAAATTTTGCCAATATGTACATACGTATATAACACACATTCTCTGAGAACCTTGATTCTTATCAATTATCCGTTTTCAAGTCAGTCATTTCCCCGAGTGACCTCGAAATTGTTTACGATTATTCATGTTCACCTATCAGGCAAGTACACTCGACCGCTCAAATCAATATGATGATTACCTTGACAGATTTCAACGGTTGCAGCACATAATCCGCTGGGAAAGTGTACACAATCTCCCGCTTGCCGTCGATCTTGCGTTTAAGCTTCCATTCACCAATTGGTTCTTCTTTGGATCGGTTGGTGTTTTCAAGAACAACGAACTTGCCTTCAGGCGAGGTTTCCTGCAAATAGTGGGGGTGTGGGAACTGGCGAAATTCAAATACATCAGCGTAGTAGTGCGCTAGAAAATAAAACGTGTTGCTGCCCAGCGGGGTAACCAATTTAATGAATACGCCCAAATGTTAATTATACAAGGACGCTTTCAATCCAATTGAAATCAACGTTTTTTTTCTTTGCTTCACAAATTCCTACCTGAATTGACACGTTTCCTTTTGCGGAACGTTGGTAGGAAGTGCGACTGGAGGTCTCGCCCTTGACCACACGCATCGTTTCTAAAAATCAGTAAAATTGGAAACCATTGAAACAGTTTCAAAATACCGGTATCGGCAACTTCATTGATTCCGGTGGTGCGCACAACTTGTTCAACCAGCTGACGAAGGCCAGGACCATCACCTTCTCCTTCGAGCATCTTACGGTAAATGGCAATTTCGGCATCAAGGGTTTGTTTGGTATCAAGAAGCATTTGGAGTTCAACCATAAGGGCTTGGCATTCCTCACGCATCTTGCGAATCTGAGCATCGCGGTCATTAAGTGCAGCTTCATAAGATCTCTGATCATCTTCGAGCTGGTAGTTGAGCTCTTGAATTTGCTTTTCGAGAAGCGCATTCTGAAATTTTATTTACTCAAATTGTCACAAGCTGTTTTACTAACTCTTCCTTCCAAATCGGCAAGCTTTCCGCGCAAGTCTCCAAGCTGGGTACGGAGTCTCTTGACTTCTTCCTTTTGGTATCCCTGTTCCATATTCTGCCGAGCAGATTGGGTTTGAATTTCCTGAACCTTAAGCTTGTACCACGATTCCAAATCGGTGCGGTTTCCGTTCATCATTTGGTCATATTCGTTGCGAATATCGCGAATTGCCGAGGCAAGCTCATTCTTGAAGTATTCACGGTTCTCATTGGTAGTATCACGTGCAGCGAGGGCTTGAAGTTCCTTGATCTCTTGATCGTGAGTGCGCTTGATAAAGTCAATCTCTTCAAGAAGAGTAGTGACTTGGTTTTGATAGTCAATGCGATTCAAGGTTTCTTGATCGAGTTCCTATAAAAACATCATGGCTTGAAGAAGACATCATGGCTTGAAGAAGTTAACTCACGGTTCTAGCACGCTGAAGCTCTTGCATCAGTCTCATGTTCTCCTTTTTCAGGCGAGCAATCTCCTCTTCGAGAAGAGCGATTCTTCTCTTGAGAAGGTTAATTTCAGCTTCCAAGTTGGATAACTCGACAAGCAAATCGTCCAGCTTCTTGCGATCCTCAGTTCTTCCGCGGGTAGCTTCATCAAATCTAAATAAATTCGTAACATTTTTTTTAAACGTAATCATACTTCTTTCTATATTCATTAAGTTCATCTTGAAGTTTTCTAATCTCCTTCTCAAGTTCATCCTTTTCTTTTCCGGTTTGATTGATAACCTTGGTGGCCTCGCTAATCTCAAGCTCATACAAGCTCTTGACGCTGCTAGTGTCCTTTCCCCAGCGCGATTTCAACATATTCAAATCAGCTCCGAGCTTTCGGTTCTGAGCTTCAAGAAAGCGAACCTTCTCGATGTAGCTGGCAAGCTTGTCGTTCAATCCCATAATCTCTTTCTTCTCACGCTCTCGCGCATCACGAATAGTCGACGCCGCATTTTGGCTGTATGGAGACAACCCGCTTGCAACGCTTGAGGATGACATCTCGGTCACAATTTTCAGCACGCGGTTTCCAGATCCTAAACACTTCTCTAATTTGGTATTTCAATTATGCGATAAATTTTACCTGGAGTGCTGTAGTTTTGAGTGTTAGTGGTGACGGTACGATTAAACGTCGGTCTTGAGGTGATGGAGCTACGGAATTCCGAAGTTTCAGACATTGTTGGCTGAAAACATCGAATGTAAAAAAACATCATTTGGTAAAAAAAAATCAACCGCCAACAGCGAGCTGATGAATGTGAATGAATAGCGATTTGAAAAGATTGGGAGAAGGGCGCGACGATAACGGTTTGTGTGGGCGGAGACATCGAAGGAAGAATGGGTGCGGTCACCCGGTTGCGTCATTGACTGCGCGATTATTCCATTGAGCGAAATGTTATTTTTCTGTGTTTTCCTTTATCGCGAGGGAGGCAATATAAAAGAGGATCAATAATCAATTGATATGTAAAAAAAAAGCAATCAAAATACCGGTCAATTGAACAGCACCTAATCATTACAATTAATTTTAAGTGACCATTATTGTAATTTTTTAATTAAAATGAACGGTAGAATTGAAGTTTTTTTCTGTTAGAACATTTTAATACAGTTGATTTAATGCAATAATTAATTTTTTTTATTAAGAAACGTATATCGATAAAATTTTTATGAAATATCTTAGGGGTTTTATTCATATACTTTACGTATATTTTCCCATTCTTTTCACATGGAAATAATTTAATTGAATCTGCTTGAATTGGGTCGACACACAAATTCCAATTGCGTCTTTGAAATCATTATCCATGATAAATTTTCTCAAATCTTTGTTGATCGTAATTGAACGCGAAATTGGTGTCTGAGATAGTCATCACTACATGTCACTATTCGATATAATTAATCACTTTTGAGTGTTAATCACTTCACGTCGTCAATTTGGATTATTCGAATTGAAATGAGAAAAACTGTTGACGATGATGTGACACACCTAAAAATGGGTGTAACCATCCGATGAATCACATTTACTATTTCGTAAATGGAAAGTGTGAAATAATACAACCGGAAACAAAATTTTTGTCGTCGTGGCGGCGGCGGCTTCGAGAACACTGGAAGAAAAAAAATGATAATAAACGAGTTGATTTCATTAGTTTGACACATGTCACATCTACAGATAGTAGAACGTTTGATATTTCCGTATTATGACAATTAAAACGAAAGCCGACGGTTCGAGCGCCAAATAACATCTCAAAAAAGTGTTCAAGGGCACATTTGTGAGAACACCGAAACAACGACTCCTACGTTTTCTCTATCAAGTTAGTCAAAAAAAAAAAGAGAACGCAATGAACGGCGAGGTTACGAGATTTTTCGAATCAATTCTATGAATGGTGAATGTCTTCTATCGAACAGGAACTTGACAGCAAATGACCGCGTGTAGCCTTGCAAGGTTGAATTCGACACTTAACTGTTTTGATACTAGAAAACTATTGATGAATGCAACATATTAAATATCGTGCTGAATGAAAAATATGTAGGCCGAACTTGTTTTAATAGTAAACAGTACACACTTTTAATGCTGAAAAAAAAACATGTTGAAAAAATACGAGAAAATCTTTTTTTTTGTGATCTTGAGTCCTAATCCGTATGTTTATGATAGTAAAATGGTTAAAGCACGAAAAAAATCTTTTTTGAAAATGTTTTTATTATTATTAGTCATATATGTCATACAATCGTTCTTCAAATATATATCGGTATTTTTTCAAACAGTGATTTTTGTAAACTGAACGCTATGGCAACTTTCATTAATTTAAATATTAAATTTAATGAATAACCACCGTGTAACTTGAACGAACTTTTGCTTATCTGATTTGTGTCTGGATACATCAAACAAATTCCATTGTTTTCGATTCTGTTTGCGTTTCGAATTATCAATATGGCTCGGACGAAACTCAACGCTTCATCACCATCTGCGCTGAAGTTCGGTTGCCATTCAACTACGGTTTAAACATTTTTTGATTCATGTAAGTGATTTACGTTTTATTTCAAGCACTTGGAAAAATTTTCGCATTTTATTTTTTTTTATTTTTAACAAAAAATAATATTCAAAATTTTGGTTATGTTACATCTTGTAAAACAATTGTGTGCACACTGAGCTGCTCGCTGTTAGTGTTTGCTTATCAATACAATGTGCAGAAGAAAAAAACGAGCTTTCTAAGAACTTCGATAGATTTGGTTTAGCTTTTAAAAATTGTTCTTCGAAATTAGGTATCAGTGTTTTAAAAATATTACAATTTATATTGGTTTCCGTGATTTTGAAGAATAAGAATATCATTTCATCTGCATGCGATGAATTTCAATGTTCCGCAGTTCCCAATGTAAAAATGATATCATCAGCGCACATTTCCCATAGTTTTTTTTTGTTGTTATTGAATATTGATTTGTAAAATGTACGAAAATCAGTTTCTCGATTTGCAATCTAAAAAATACAACAAAACTGTCATGTTAATAAACTCTCTATTTTTTTTTATTTAGAAAAGTTCGAATCTTCACTCTTTCACCAGTTTACATTTTCGACTCTTTAGGCAAAAATTGAAGCTTGAGACAATAATAAAAATTTTTACACGGGTCTATTACATTTTTTGTAGAAAACCAGTCGTTTCCTTGGTGGTTTTAAACACATCCTTAGATATAAAACACTGTCCTTCCCTGGGTTATTAATCATCTCTCCAGAAAAGAATGTTTTTCTTTATAAAATAACAAAAGAATGCGTCGACTGTTGATCGTCAATATGATCAGAACCAAGATGGAAGTAATTTACAACAGTCGTTTTTATGTTCTCTCGACGTTCTTCAAAATGAACGACGACGTTCGGGTATCTAAAAGTTTCGATAGTCTTTCTTCTTCCCTTCCATTTCTGATTCTGGGCAGTTTTTTTTTGTCTAAACGGATTGCTTCGCAAATCATTTTCCACTTTAAATGTCTGGAAAAAAGAGTGAGGATTCGAGCTTCTCTACATTGGATTCTGAAAATTATGAAGATTCCCGAGAATGTGAAACCCAACAATTGTGGTACCTTTTTTCTATTGCTTATTACTGATTTAAAGTGTTTCTTTTGTTTTTTTTTGCAGGATTCAAGATAATTCAGATGAGAGAAGTATGCAACGACGCAATCCGGTGCGTCGACAAAAAAATGCTGAACAAACTCGCGATGCCCTCAAGGTGAATTGAATCGTTGCATGTAAGTAACGACGAAAATTATATCAGATTCTTGAAAAGTATGTTCGCAAAAAGTATCGGACTTCGTTCATTTTGAATCAGGATGGAGAAACCATTGAGGCACCAACCCCAATGGGAAACACACCATTTCAATTCTCAAGGTTATATTGGATTTAAAGTCATTATTTATTTTCGAATGCACAATTCAGACAGATGACTCCCGCAGAACATCTTTCCATGATCTTCAATTCTACTCCGATCGGATCAGCACCGTCTGAATACACTCAACCGCCTTTGTCTCCTGCTTTTCGGACACCTACGATTATGTCAGAATTCAAGTAGGAATTTGTTTAGATAAAATAACACATTTTATTATTTTCAATACAATTATACAATTGCACACAATTAAAAAAAATACACCACTAAATGCATTTATTCTGGTCTATATCTTTAACGTACATAGCTTTAGACACAATTCGAAGGAGTCTTGGTTTGCGTATATTCGAAGAATTATTAAGTTTGCTTATGATTATCTAGGTTATTATTTAACTTATTGCCTCAGTTTATATTCCTTTTTAGGATTTCGTTACATTGTACTAGCTCTTCTCATTATTGGCTATGCTTGTTTGGGTGGATATGCATTTATGTATTTAGAGAAAGAGCAACAAATTTTAGACTTGGAAGAAGAAAGACAGGTTCCGCTTAAATACCTTTCATTAATATAAATTGATTGAATTTCAGGATATGATTGCTGAATCACGCACGGTGGCCCAAAACTTATTAAACTACATGAAAGAATATAATTGCGTATGATGAGAAAACTGTTTTTCAACATTTAAACGATTTCCAGAGCACATCTGAAAATCCAAAATGTCTACATTTAATAACAAAAGCAATGATTGAAAGGTCAGAGAGAGTAGAAATGAGCATTCGTGGAGAAGGATGGAGATGGGATTTCTGGAACTCGGTGTTTTTCGCAGCGACTATATTCACTACGATTGGTGAGACTGGCAACACGTTTCTATAACAGCCCACTTTAAGGCTATGGAAATTTGGCGTGTAAAACTGTAACAGGTAGAATAATAACTATAATATACGGACTTATTGGAATCCCATTGATGCTGTTTGTTCTGAAAGTATATGGTGAATGTGGGATTGCCAAAGCTCAGCAATGTCGAATTTATATTAAAAAGTTTGTTCTGTTCAAACTGACACATTCCCTTTTTACTTTTTAAGGAGATTCCGACGATGGCGAAAACATGGTGCTTATGGTCTTAAAAAGGCTGGAACTGTTGAATCAGTTGCATCCGATGAAATTGAGCAATTACAGACAACTGTGCGGTTCACTTCTCGAAACGTTTTGTTAATTGTATTACAGGTTGATGAGGATCGGTTTCAAACATTTCCTGTTAGTTGGGCGTTGATTATATGTATTCTTTTTATGGTGTTTTGCTCAATGTTTGTTTCAAAATGGGAAAATTGGGATTTCCTTACCGCATTCTACTTTTTCTTTGTATCATTATCCACTATTGGATTCGGAGATGTTATTCCAGAACATCCGAAATCAGCTTGTGGTATGAAATATTTTTTATTTCATCAACGTACAATAGTTTAATTTTCAGCCCTATTCCTATTGTACTTTGTTGGACTTGCGCTTTTTTCCATGGTGTATGCAATTCTGCAAGTGAGATTTTGATTTGCTTTAGAAAAAGTAGTGAAGATACTAAAACCACGATTGTGCCTGATTGTGCCATGATAACATATTTATCGCAAAACAATTTGATTAAGATTCACAAAACATTGTTTTATTTTTCAGGAACGTGTTGAAAATAATTATATGTGGGCACTAGAGATAATAGATCAAGAATATGAAGAAAATTTAAAATTGGATGCAGTTGAGGAGGATGATAGGAAATCACCTCAATTTGACAAAATTGGTATAATTTTTGGTTTTTCGAAATAAATAATAACCTTATTTAGCCAATGATATGACAAATGTTCGATGGAGACCTAATTTGGATAGGAATACACCGGATCGACCAGCAAGTGTCAGAAGAACAACTGGTAAAAAATCACATAATGATTATAAAAAAAATTGGATTTCAGTCATTTCATCCGAGGCCCATTTGCCTCCAACAATTCTCGGAGTTCTTCGTAATATGACAGTTCAAAAGCGAATGATGGCGAATTCGGAAAGCACATTGAACAAACATGTTAATCGGCCAACTTCGTTGCTTCAAAATAACGAACACCTATTGAATTCTAATGGAGGAAATAGTAGCAGAGGGTCTAAAAATGATTAATTATTGTTTTTAAATTAACGTTTCAAGTTTAGGTCACCATGGCTTACTCAGTCTGAATCCCAAAATCTAAAGGAATCACCATTGTTAGGAAAAACTTCTGGAATTTCAGCCCCAAATCTTCACCATGGCGGAAATCGTAGTCCATCGGCTGTGCTTTCTGTTATTACTGAGGCCAGTGATGAAGATTTGAAACAATTTAAAAAGAATGTTTCCAAAAATACATGTTCGAAAATTGCGGAACATGTTTGCGAACAAGGTAACTAAGCATGAATCTTCTTTTGTAGTATAAATGTAATAATTTATGACTTTAGGAAGTCACGAAAGTCTGGATCAGGTTATGGATGAACTTCAACTTGAAGCTACCGATCCTGCCATTACTCCAAAGCCGTATCAGGATCCAAATGCCAAACCGTTTTTCAATGGAAGACAAAGCGCTAATGAAGAAGCCAGTACGTCCGAGAAAACTCCTTTGTCGTCAAAAGATCCATAGAAGGACAATCCGGATTAAATTCACAATTTTAACTTAAGAATATATGATTTATTGTTTGCAATAATATAATGTTTATTGAAGAGGAAAGTGATATTTATAATATTGATATATACAGCACACAAAATTAATATTATTGATATAGATAAAAGGGATTGTTGAAGGATTTTCTTAAAGCACAGAAAGGATAGAATTGCAACTACCAGTTGGTTTAATTATGCATCCGGTTAATTCCAGTTTTTACATTTCATCTTCACTCGAGTCAATAAGCTGTTGGCGGTCTTTAGAACGTCTTGCTTTCTTAAGTTTATCCATTTTTTGTTTCTGAAACTCCTTGCAATTAGGCCAGCTGTAATACTTCATAGTTTTCCATACCGTGTCTCTAAATGGACCAGACTTTTTTGATGTTGAAACACTATCCTCGCTATTTGGCGATGACGACGACGAGTCCTTATCTTTTCCATCATCGCTGAATGGCGAGAGTTTGCGAACGACCGCGTTCATCTGGAACCTTCCTTGTTTATCTAATTGAGTGAAGAAAATTAATCACCTTTTGCGTGAAAATCGATTGACTCGACTTTTTGTCAACGAATCCCAGCTTCTTCGGTTCCGGTTCCTGTTCCACATCAATTTTCAACGGTTCCTGCAATATTGTACTGTGTTTGCATACATTTGCGCAAACGTTAATTTTCCATTTTTGTAAAAAGGCTTCTTGTTCCGGCCTCAAGCCTGCAAATGCCCCGCGCAATGTAAATAATCGCGTCATTTTTGTATGAAGCAATACAATAACAACCATTCATATAACTATTGCCCGTAAAGGACTGGAATAGCGACTTTTTTAGTCGCATTGCGTCGTCGTACCTTGTGGGTTGCTTGATAATCCTCCCAAATGATCTCAGGCGGGATGATATAATTGAATTCGCTGGTTGATGGAAGCCCTTCTAAAAATATGACAATATTTGATCGGCGCCTTTCGGTTTGGTTTACCTTTGTCTGACGTCAAGCGTTGTCTTCCATTGCCGAGTCTTGAGGTTACTGCCCGAGTCAATGATGACATACTGTAATGTTTATTAATTCGAAAGATTTCACAAAACCGAGAAAGCAGAAATGAAAAATGAGCGAGCTGAGATGCGTTTTGCCACTTCTCATAGGAGCCAATTAGTTATTTGGACAAGCAATGGGTGGAGACTCAACATGCTTTTTATTTAACCGACTTGGAAAAGAAGCGAAGGACGCTTCTAGTTAGAAAAAAATGAAAGTCAGAAATGTGTTCGTCTGAGCTCTGTGGGAAAATTTTAAGTCTCTTTTATGTTTTATTTCTAAATAGAAAAAAAAAATTATTTTTCTCAGGAAGTGAAGAAATTTATAAAAACCGTAGTGATGTTGTGATTAACATGAAAAATCCTTATTTATAAGTGATTCGACAAATGCGATATAAAATTTGGAGGTCTATATAAAACGTAAATTTAAATGAAAAATACTTTTATCCTAGGTTTCCACATTGAAAAAAATGGAAACTCGCAAAAAAAAGTACTGGGTTTTTGGAAATGTTAGAATATTCCAGTTATGTATATGTTGGACCGTGAATGAATATTTCAATAAGCGGCGAGGTTTTAGATGATGTTGTGAAGAGTACTTGACAAAAACGAAACATGAATTAGTCGAACAAGAACAGTTCCATATATCCTGAAACTATATTAAGACAAACAAGTGAAAATGGCCAAACAATATCTTTCACTGTTCACTGAAAGTAGGTGTTAAATGCGGTGGTGTTCATTTTTTTCAAAGTACAATAGTACACCATACAACCGCAATAATAGGAAAAAAAAAACAGTGGAGGCCTTTTGATGCATTACGCACAACATTGATTGTCGTTGAACATGCATACATACAAAGATGACTCAAAAACTAGTTTAGTGCACTCAAAATGTTTATAAAAAATTTCGAATGGGCACACTAATGTGCAATCAAGAGGATCAATGAATGACAATAATACGTTTCGAAAGCACTCGCGAGACTCCATATGGTTTCGAATATTTTCATTAAGCATCTGGAGAAGGGCGGACTCGAAAATCAAAAGATGTAAACGGTCATAGAACGCCGCACAAAAAAAACGCAATGCGATGGGATGGAAAAGCGCCTGAGTCAATAATTCGCGGTAAACACAATTCGGGAACATTTTGGTGTGTGTTTGGCAGAAATTAAAATCGTTCGTTTGAATAAATATAAATGAAAAATAGAAACGCCCATCACTAATTGAGAGCCTTGTTGCGAGGTTTCCCAAGGATTCCCCCCCCCCGTTAGATGTGCAGTAATTGTTACTGCGCTAATGAGCGAATTATAATGTTGTTCGGATGTCGAGCGTGCCCTCAATTCGCCTAGTCTTGCTTCTTTTCGTCTCTCCTCTCGGCACAGGTGTGCATCAAACTTGTTCTCGCGTGTCCCCATTAACCATTAGTTCATTAGTTAATTAATGTAATTCCTTAATACATTGTGTGTACATTCAAAATACACTATCAAAATTTTTATCGTTTTTTTAGTAATGAAATTCAGGCAAGTTCTTAAAAGCACTTAGCGGTTAAATAAATTAATAATTGTATGCTGCGGTGTCAAATATCATTAAACACTGGAAAGAACAAGAAAATCTTTAAAATAATTGGTAATTTTTTGTTAAATTCTTTTCGAATATACGCTTTATTTCCAAATAATATTATTTGAGCAAATGGTAAAAAAATCCATATGAAACAGCGAAATATTGAGAACAAAAATGAATACACAATGACGAAAATACAGACGTCACAAAAATTAGAATTTTTAAGTTATTTATTCGTATTTTTACAAAATCATTTTATTGTTAGTAACTCACTGAAATTTCAAAAATTAGTTGAGAAATGTTCGAAATGTTACATTTCTCAGTTTTTTTTTTTTTCGTCATGGAATTAAAAAGACAATGATGAAATAAGTATAACTAAAATATCGGCAGAAATGATAAAACGTGCTTGTAGATATAGGGAATGGGAGCAGCTTAAAATGTCTCAATGTTTTTATTATCGATCTGGATAATCGTACAACAATAAAATATCAAATGCTGATAAAGCGGAAAATTTCCGTAACGGTTCAATACTTTTCCGGTGGACGTACAATTCACTTTCATATGTTTTCAATGATGAGCACTATCAATATGAGAGGAAATTTTTTTCATTACATGGTTAGATTTAATGTTAGCGATTATAAAACGAATTTCCTGAATACTGTACTGTTTCTTTTGTTTAGGCCCCTCTTGGCGGTTTCGCGCAAACAGACATAAATTCAAACTAATTCAGTCATGAAACTTTCGACAGTGGAAAGCGATTACAAAAAAAAAAGGAACGAGATGTTGACGTCCGAAAAACTCAAATTAAATCATTAGTATGAGCAACTTTTGTGAATGAAAAATGTTTTGTAACGAATATCTCTACGCCGTCGCAATGTTATATAATCTATGACTAACAAGTTAACCGAGCGAACACACAAAATCAATTATTTTCATTTCTTCGGTATAAAGAGTAAAAAAACTCGATCACAGAGATTTTATAACGCATGTAACAACTAAAGTAAACAGTATTTTATTCAAGTTTCGACTCATATTTATTTTGTTTGAGTTCCCGATGCCTTAGATGTGTACTTATGACAAAACATACTAATTTTTTTTAATTAAAATGTAATTTTGTAAAATATGTTATTTGAAAAACATCTACTTAATAATGACAAACCAACCAAAGAAATAATCCAATTTGTTCTGTTTTCTTGGTCATTGATAAAAATGAACTAAACGGTGACGTGGCAAACCAAAACGAAGAATTTTCAGAAATAATATGATGAAGTAATATACCCGAAGAACGAATTAGAAATAATACACGAAATATCTTATAATACCGGAAAATGACTAATGGAAATCTTCAGAATCATTTTACATTTCGAATCGTGTCATATATATATATATAAGGGTTTCTGATTGAGCTCATTGTGCGCGAAGTTTGAAAATTGAGTATCTAATGTGAGCGGTGAGGTGAATTGAAATAAATATACGTCATCTAGACTCATTTTCAAATTACAAATGAGATTTTGAAAGTTAAATGGAGCCAGCTTATTTCTGCAACAAGTGATTACGGTTTCAATAATAGATTTTTAATTAAGAAAATATAAAAAAGTTACAAAATTTTTTATTATTTTCACTGAAATTTCTGTAATTTTCTCACAAATTTTTTAATAATTATTTTATTTTATTCGATTTCTCATGTTGCAAAAAATATAACTGAAATTTGTTGGACACCAAAGTCGAACTTTTTCCTATGTATTAATGTATGCATAATTACGTAGCCGCTACTATGTGCTTCTGTTATTGAACAAAATGAACATTTTTATTATTACTAGCGAAAAGTAATCAAAATGAGAAATTATATTAGTGTGCTATAGAAATAATCTGAAGCTGAAAAAAAACACGTAGAGAAATCCGAGAAGCTGTAAACATGAAATCAAAAAGAAATGAAGAATTGGAGATACGCAAAAGCCGGTTTTAGAAAAAAACTTCAAGTCACTCAATTGTGCAAGAATTCAATTTCAGGCATGTTCTACAGCAATATCTCAAAAAAAAAATAAATGCAATAACGGCCAGAATTTCATTGGGTCCAAAAAGTTCAAACTAACTTTCCTTTACTGCCACAAGAAAAAGACATACGAGGAAATTCGAGAAGAGGCAAAAAAAAATTCAAAAAATTGTTTAAATTTTCACTTTGTTTTAAGGAAAAACCTTTTTGCATGTTTTCAGTTGGGCACAAATTATAATTTTCCCGTGATCAATTTTCTTAGTACCGAACGCAAACAACTTGCGCCCACGTGTTGAATAAATAAGCAAAATTTCATTTTTTTTTAACATTACTTTTTGCTTAAATATTTACAAATTTTTAAAATTACAATGGTATTTTTGTTGCACGACTAATACTCAATTTCGTGTTTTCGTTTTTTCTTGGTTAGTGTCACATGATGTGCAGAATAAATAAAAACCAAAAAGTGAAGTGGTTCGTTTTACTCAAAGATCCAATGACAGCAAATAAAATTCTTAAATAATTGCTGATCCGATCGAAATGGGTAAGATATGATAAATAACGTATACCGACTAGCATTTATCTAGAAAAAAAAAACAAACGTTTGATAAAAAATTGGAAAAAATAGATTTTGAGATTTTTGGGGCGTTCAAATTCATCAAAATGAGTTTTTGTAAAAAAAAAACAGACTATGTAGTTTTGAAACATGTTAAAGAAACGTTTAATTATAGCAAAATATTTCTCCTCAGATTTGTTTCAATAAAGACAATTTTTTAACTTCACATTAAAATGTGACATAAAGTTTAAATTTTGAGATTTAATATATGGAATTTTCATGAATCAACTTGAAAGATTTGATGTTATCAAATTTAAATTTCATCATTAAAATTCAAACAACAGCATTCTCGCAGTCACGAAAAAATTTATTTTCCCTACTGCATCCGATAATTTAAGAAACACAAAACGTAATTGCCTAAAGCTGAAATTTAGGCGAACAAATTGTTGTCATAATAAGCTAAGTATTATTCAGATATTTCTATTATAAGAAAAGCTTTGCAAGACTAATAAACAAATATTTTTTTGAATTAACTATGAAATTATTTTTTTATGCAATAATTGCAGATAACTATATCTAAAATACCCAAAATTGATTTATTTATGTAGATAATTGGTATTCAAAAATATATTTATATTTGTACATATGATAAACTTATTCGATTTCAATTTTTAATAATTTAGTTCAGAGTTAAATCAGATTACTTCCGTATTAATTTTTTCTCCACATTAAAAAAACGTTCTCTTTCTTCGATATCGATTTCATTGAACGATTTATTGCCTTGTATTCCTTCATCTTTCTTAATTGTGCAACCATTCACAGCCTAGCAATTCTTGTCACCAACAGGTGCTCATAGCAACAATTTCTACGAAACGACAATACGTGCGAGCGGAGAGTCGAGACAGCAAAAAACTCATTTAATACACACGCGGACCGTCTGATTGGCAACATTATCCGACCTATTGGGATTGTTTTTCTTCTAATTTCTCTTGAACCCCATTTTTCTACTATTGTTGATCGGTGTTTTTTTTTCAGTTCATTGCGGAATCCTAAATCATCAATTACTGTCTGTTCAATGGTTAAAAAATTAATTTTTGAAAATTCCAATTGATGTAATCTGTACCTGTTCTTGCTTATTTTTCTGAATCTAAGATGTTTTTATGATATTTTTTTAAGATGCCACGATGGTTTAAAAAAATCATTTTTTGTCTTTTTCAAACAGTCTTTGATATATTATGTCATCTTATTTCTCGTCGTTTTAAATAAGTTCCGGTTTACTGTTAAATAATCTGTGTTGAGACTGTGTATGTTTATAGAAAAATCATTACGGGGACTTGTTTGTACTCAGGCTGCTAAACCACGGGCGGTGCGCACCGCGTAGCATAGTACACAAAACGAATAGTGATGAATAATACACTTTAGTTAACAATTGTTTTCTATAGGATAAAAAACCTTGGAGTATTTAAACTTTATTAACATTATCATTTCATTTTGTGTTGCAATTTTTAACAACTAAGCCACAATGAATGATTTCGTTTGCAGGTAATGGCCAGTATTGTTGTTCACAAGGATGCGTGCAAAAATTCATTTCGTCAAGGCATTATTCAGATGCTTGAAAATATGGGGTTTTCAATTGCACATGAATCGACAATCAATACTTTGGTTGGAATCTGGATGAGAAAAATGACTGAATATTCACAGGGCACCAGATTGTTCATGGAAGCGGGTAATTTAAATTTTACCTTGATCAAGGTGATTTTTTTGGTTTATAGCGGGCAGGACAATGCCAGTTGTTGAAGATGCCGTAGCTGGACTACGTTATCTTAAAGTGAACATTCATGAAGTTCGAGATTATACGCTACAAGTTGAACGGACTCAGTTGCCTGCAGTTAAAAGAAATATTTTAAATAAATAATATATTTTTTCTTATAGCTACCTTTAATACCTTCAAAACATCCAGCTGAACGAGATGAAGCGTCTCATTTCGAGGCAATGTATGGTCCAAGACCATCCGAAGCGGAAATGAAGGTTTATTTTTATCATATCTGGAAAAAATATGACAATTTTTTTTTCAATAAAGATACGGCCGGATCATGTATTCGATTTTCTGCCGGCGATGTACCCAGAACTTTGTGATGGAGGTTTGATATTACCTATTTATTGTCACAGAAATCGATGAATTATTTAAAAATCTGAAAGTTTCATGAAAATGTGATAGTGCTTGTGTATATTGTGATGGTGCACTATTCATCAGTTTTATCAAGCAGGACTTACAGGAGGTATTCCAGAGCACTTCAAGAAAGGAGGAAAAGAAAAGAAAAAATGCGAACCAAAAGAAAAGAAGAATGATGAAAAGTTCGAGTATTCAAGTTTTGGCATTTAAATAAATGGTATTTTCAGAGAAAAGCCCGGATACAAATTTCCCTCTAAAATACCTCTGTTTGACAACATGACATCAGAAGAACTTGCATTGTATGAGATTCCAGAAGTCAAAAAGAAGAAACCTCTTAACAAACCAGATATTTCTGTTGTTACTGGTTAGATATTAAAATTAATTACTTAAAAGCTACATTCGATTTAGGCATTACAAGTAGCGCAAATCTTCCTACTTCTGCATCACCAGCTGTTACTATACCTGTAGTAGCAAAAAGGGAAGGAGGAAGTGCTAGAAATAGCGTAAGTCTAATCTACTTTAGTTTTTTGAACGAACAAGTTATTTCTAGAAATTTTCTACACCTGCGCAATCGCCAAAAAAACCCGATGACACCTATCCGGTAAAAAAAAGTGAACGAAAAGTGTATACAAATGAATTTCAGTCACGACCAGGTTCATGCGCGCCAAAGTTGGATGTACAACCAAAGGTAAGATAGATTAAATTATTCGTGATATAAATGCACACACATTCGTTATTTTCAATCGGATTAATAAACACAGCTTAACGAAATACTCTGCGCAGGTGGATTTGAAATTTTGGCACCGAGCACATTTTCAAACGTCTTCCTCAAATTTTTTCTTGTATAGTGTAATTGCGGATTTTGAAAACCTTTCTTCAGTTATATATATATATATATATATATATATATATATATATATATATATATATATATATATATATATATATATATATATATATATATATATTTTACGACCATAGCGATTTAATATTACTTTTGCAATAACTAGCCTTTCAGATGAATTCACCTTCTCCATTCGATCGCCCTTCGTCTTCTTCGGCAGGCGATAAAACTCTGAAAACTGTACTGTAAGTGCAAAAAGTGGCTGTTTCTTTTTCAAAAAAAAACCAACAAAATAATTAAGAGCTACCGCACAAAATAAATTGAACGAAAAAATTGCGAAGGAGCCAAAGAAACCTAAGACGACAGAAGTGAAAATACCTAGACCAAAAGGACGTCCACCTAAAAAGAGACCAGAAGTTACTGTGGTAAATTTCAAGTCAAGATTATTGTTATAGAATTTTTCAATTTCAGATTTCGAACAGAAAGTTTGATCCCGCTTACGTTGCAGAACAACAGCGTCAGTTAGATAGATTCAAGGAAGAAAAGGAAAAGCGCGATAAGGAAGTCCTTGAAAAGGAACTGGCAAAGAAGTCAATCGATGAACAAATAAAAGTGCGCCAAGAAACGTTATTGAAGACAATTCTGACAAATAACATGCTTAATGCCTCAGCAAATCGTATAAAAAGATTTTGGGATTCAAAATCACTTGGTGTTTTAGAACCGCTGCCTGTGTCACATCCGAAATCTCTTAAGCTTGTTATCGGAAAAGGACCAGGAGGCTCACCCATTGTATCGTCGGTGAAATCAACACCGGTCACACCGAATGAATCAACAATCCATCCTGTTGTTACATTTACAGTTGGTGGTAATTCAGCAAGTAAGACTATATTTTTTTCGCGGGTAAATTTGAAGCAATTAATATGAAAACGTGTTTGACAATTAAATATTAGTTTGAACACAACTATGTATAATAAGAACGATGAAGAAAACAAAACAAACATTGCAAATGAAATGCATATTTTTCCTGCAATGTGTTTCGCCCAAAACAAACGATTGATTTTTCTCGCCGATTTTTGAATAATAAACCAGGAATGTTATTTTAATAATTGCAGATCGTGCTCACGTGAAAAGCGGAAGCAATGGAGAGGAATCGAAATCGAAAGAAGATCCGGAATGTTTTGATTCGACACTTAACGATACAGCAACTACAATCGATACGTCAATTCAAAGCATTGATGATAGCTCGTCGACAAAAGAGAAGAAGAAAAAGAATAAAGAAAAGAAAGTTAGTGAATAAGAAATCAAAATTTGTTGAAAATGAGAAAAAATTAGGATCGATCCAAATCGCCGTCACATAAGAAACATAAAAAGAAGAATATGGACGCCGAGGAGTATCTGGAATACAAGCGACAGAAAAAGGAAAGAAAACGAAGGGAGCGGGAAGAAAGGGAAAAACTTGAACACGCAGCCAAAACAATTCCTGAGCCTGTCGGAGAAGCTCCCGTTCAAAGTGGTAACATTTTTGTTATTTTCATAAAGATTTGGCTGAATAGACGAGAAACAAAAAAAATATGAAAAATAATGTGTAATATCCTTTGGAAACATTAAGGTTTTCGCAATAAAAATTGCCCGATCACTCTTTTTAATATTAGAATTTCCGGGAGCACTACATGTATTTGTAGGACGATAAAATTAATTCAGCAAATTTTATAAAAAAGGTTTTTAATGAGACTTCTATTTTTCCACATGTTTTCGCAAAATAATGACTTATTATCATTTTTTATTTGTGTTCCTTGAATTTTTATTTCGAGAAAGTTATTTCATATATATGTACATTTTTTCGAATTGAGTGGTGAATTATTTTTCTAACACAAATATTAAAATTTGTAAAGGCTAAAATTAATGAGTCTTATTAGACAATTATTGTTTTTTGTTCCCCTATCCATAAAGGTAAAGATTCAATGTAATACTCTGCAAAAAAAATAATATTATTCGTCTTGCTAAACGTGTGCACTCGGATATAATTTATAAATATTTAATCACGGAGACGTTGGGTAACATTCAGTTTCTTGGATTATATACATTGAAAAAAAAAACATATAAGTCATTGGCAAACGACATTACTCTTCAGTCTTCTTTACATCAATTTTTCCTCGCTCATTGACAAACCCATTTCAACACAATTTTGGAAGCAAGCTCTTTGTGCCCTTTATTGCAAGAAACCCAATACAATCAAAATTTTGTTTCCGTGTCTTTGTGTGTATATCAAATTTCATATGCCATATTCATAGACATTATCATACTTTTTCATATTCTAATCTGTTCGGTGTACAATCAAAAAATCAGCACACTGTTCTACGGACGACGGTAAAAATTCATTTCATTTGCAAGAAAAAAAAATTATTTATAGACACATATTTTGTGATGTACATTTAAAAGTGTTGGCTGTCATCCAGCGCGTACTACGTTCACAAATGTTTTTACCATTTTGAGTGTTTTTTTATTCTCATTTTGCCGTTTCCAAGTGCCTTCTTGTTCTTATACTTTAGGCAGCCTCTCGTAGTTTCAATGTCTTTTTGTTTCAATCGCCGCGTTTGGTTTTGTTTCATTTCTTCGCCTCTCATTTTTTTCATCCTTGTTGCCGTCGGTGTTTCATTCCAGAATCGAGAATATTTTCATTCAAGGCAGCGATAGATTTTTTTTGCCGAATGCATGGGATGTTATACCTTTGCTGTTTACATTAGTTTGCATTGACAATTACGCAAATCATAATAAATACTCGACATGTTTCGAATATTTTTTTCGAACACAATTGCTTCTCGCTCGTTATAGTTATTCACCTCCATAAGACATTATTAATTTAACAAACTGATATTTCCGTCGGCAAAAAGTGAAAAGATTGTTATAATTTCGCTTTGAAATATTTAATTATCTACATTTTTGTTTCAAAAATAAAAATTATACACTCGCCCATTCACTACGCATAATCCTTCTCTTATTCTCGTGAGTGCGGCAAATCCTTTGGAATGCATTCTGTGCTACTAAACACATAATATATATATTTTTTTTTACATGGCGAGAAAATTTTTTTCAGAAGTCGTTGAGCGGCCGAAGTTTACACTGAAGATCAAGCTTGGAGATACAATTAGTGAGAAAACTGCGGAAATGTCACCACCACCGAAAACAAAGCCCGTGGAACGGCCAAAATCTTCAGCATCGACTAGTTCGAATGTCGCAAGTGATGAGAAACCATCTCAGCCGTTCACGATTACCTTCAAAAACTTGTTCAGGTTTATTTTTGAGCTAATTGTTTTCCAAATCAACCACCACTTTTCAGAGAGTACGGACCTGATTGCAAAGAAAAAAAACCGTCTGATAAACATTCGCCAGTAGATAAACCAGACGTTGTCGTGCGGGAACCAGACGTGGCAATACCACAACAAGAGGTAATATATTTTTGATAAAAATACAACATATTTGGGCTGATTTAATTGTGCATTCACAATAGAGGCTCAATTTTCATACAAAACAATGGCAAATTTATCTATATTTCAAAAGCATTAAGTCGAGATTTTTGAACTATTTGTTTATTTGCACTCTGAAAAATGACGCAGACGGATCACAAGATTATTTTATGATATATTATATGCATATATGTAATGTGCGTCGTGCAGCTTCTTAATCTAGAAACGCGTAAACATGAAGTTCAAACGTTTACAGGAGCGCAGCAAACACAAGAAAGATAAGAAGGACAAAGAGAAGCGAAAAAAAGAGAAGCGTGAAAAGGAAGATCGTGAACGTGAGAAGCGGAAACTCGAAGAAGAATTGAGGTCGGTGTGGAATTTTTTGATTTAAAAAATTATATTTTTTTAGACTTCAAAAATTGGAAGCACAAAAACGAGAAGCTGCACGTCAACAAGAGGAAATGGAAGCCGAAAAACGGCGTGAAGCTGAACGGGAAGTCGAACGGGATGCTGAACGGAAGCGTTTGCAAGAAGAAGCACGTCGAAAGGAGGTTGAATTTAAGGAACGCAAGGAGAAGAAAAAAGAAGAACGCAGAAAAGAGAAAGAAAGGGAAAAAGAACGTCATAAGAACGGACCTTCTTCGTCGCGCCCTAGCAAGAAGCATAAAAAGAAGGAAAAAGAAAGGGAAAAGTCGAAGCGTGAAAAATCCAAGTCGAAAGAAGGTAGTCCTGATGGTTCACCAAGACATATCAAAGCTCTTCTTACCAATGACGACGACAGCTCCGAGGAGGAGGAGGTAGGGGTCAGAGAATCCCAAAATACTATACAAGATGTCGAGTTTAAGATTTGGGTTTGTCCTGTTTGCTCAGTTGCTTACACTGAAGGCGCAAACATGGTTTGTTGCGACATGTGCGATGATTGGTTTCATTGGTATAACAAAGACAAATGAACACAATCAATCAATTGATTTTTAGGCACTGCGTTGGTCTTCTCGTCGAGCCGGCATCGAATGTATCATGGTATTGTCAAAGATGTTCGGGCAAAAAGAAGCACAAGGATTTGAAGCGTCCCCACAGCGGCACTGGAGAACCTGAACCTAAAAGAAAAAAGAAGTACTGAAAATTACTAATTTATTATATTCAATGAAATTAGCTAAACTTTCTACATATTGCCAAACATCTAATTATATCAATACTAACCTAGCACATTTTGTCAATCAATTTTGCTGTAAAATATTTTCACGTTGTTGTCTATTTTTTTATTTTATTCTACCTTTATTCGTAATTGCCTCTTTTTAAAGCCCAAAAATAATTAGAGTTTTTTTCGTTGCGATAATTTTACGTGATCTCATACATAGAACATTGCTTTTCTGTTAATTTTTGTGATATCGAAGACCCTAACACAGATCCATCATGACCGAAAATCATTAAGGTTCAGTCTTTCCACCATTTCAAATACTGATAGTGTTATTCCTTTTTTCTATATTGTATTATCATTTTTTTAATATTCAATAAAGAAAATTAACTGGTGTTTATGTCCACATCTGATTATTTTCAGAAATGCCTAAAAATATACTTTATTCGTGGATTATAAAAGACAATCCGTAATATATGCTATAGATAATCCCTATAGAAAATAATGCATTCAAGCTCTATTGAATTCCATCTACGGTATCACAAAATAATCTTCTCTAATATATTTTGTTTTGAAAACTTTATTGGAGCGAAAATGATTGGTTTAATTGTCATAATATTTTGTTTATCATTGATATCAAAATAATTGAAAGGGGTAATTTCAATCGATTTAATAAAAAAATTATTATTTTGATAAGAGCGCCCCGAATCATGGACAAATTAGCTTACGTGTTGGACATTTTTGAAAATGCAATGAATGCAAAGTACAGATCAAAATCCAAAGTGCAGCGCAGTATTTCGGCTGATGCCTTGAGAAATTTCGATCATAGAATCATTCGAATTACGTTGAAAAAATTCTATTTCACAATGTAAATTTTCACGAAATCAATCACATTGTTTGACCAAGTGTACTCATTTAAAAAATCTTATGAGATTAATGTAGAACATATGTTATTTATTGAGAATCTTCAATAATATAAGACATATACTTGCTAGTTGGTTTTGAAATTTTGTGGAACATAATTAATTGTGAGTTTCAAAAGAAAAACAATTAAAAATCAAGTCTTCGGTTTAAAAACCCAACTTGATTTCTTCTGAAGAATGTTTTTTTTCGAAACACTAATTAAGCATTATTGAAAATAAAATATTAAAATTTAAAGTAATTTTCATTCACGATAATGTTTTTTTTCATGCTGATTGAATTTTTTTTTTATTTTCCGAAATTTTTCTCGATTTTTTTTTGCTAGGATTAAATTTGCAATCAAGAATTTTCAGAAATTTAGAAGAATACCGACAACTTCAGTTTTTTTTAGGAAAATGTTATTTTCTCACAATAGAAGTACTCATGTGATTGAATAAAGCAATTATCTCAAGACCTTTTATATTGTTTTCGGATTTTATTTAAGATAGAAAACAAAAATAGTTACACCTGTGTCTAGAATATAACTGTAACTGAGGAAAACTCTTATTTTGAGGATATCAGCAATATCCCTAGATTTTTGCTGAAATATTCATCTTAACTTTTGTGAAAGATTTTTTTGACACTTGCATACAATTTGCATTCATTTCTTTTTCGTGATATCTGTGAGTCACATGGTTTTATGAATTATGTGTGTCGACAGAAAAAAAACCAGATGTTATGACCGATTATGGACTAATGGTTTGATATACGACACATTATATCTAATTATGTTGATTAGCTGGGTGAATGGTTCAACAACATTGGAAAGAATTTAATTTGGCCGTATGAATGTCCGACATATGTTAGGTTTTGCGCGTGCAAACGTTCTTTAATGAAATAAAACCATAACTAATTGCTTATTTCCGGAACACTTTCTTCATGCTTCCAATCATTTCGAGTCCAACCTCGTTATATGCTTTGTTGTTCTTTTCTAAATGTCCTAAACCTTATTTTCTGACCCGCACATCAAGACAAACATAAAGAATAGATTGCAAAAATCGCTGTATTAAATAATTAATATCGGGAAAATGCTATCCACATATGCGCTATAAAATTCATGCATTTTAGATGATCAACACATGTCTTGAATAATCCCACAATATACATATTTTAACTCGCAATGGATGCTTCTTCTTCGACGCCGCTGAATCGTGTCTTGTTTTTTTTTAAATGCAAAACATTTCGGAGAATTTATTACTCAATCCTGCGTTCTCCAACTCGGCAACAATATTTCTACCATTTTATTTTCGCGGGTATTGAAACGAGGCATTGCCGCGATTTAATAATTGTCCTAGTTATCCATTAGACGATAGTATGGTGCGAGGCAGAGGGAATAGACAATACTACTACTACGTTTCAATTCATATGAAATGATCGTTTTTGTTGTTTCTATTGCTGACAAATAGTCCCTGCTTGACGCATAATTTTTTCGAAATTGTTCATAATTTTTTTTTTCAACTTATTTCATTAGTTGATTGGCTCAGCTAAAGCTACGAAAAGCCGATATACGGATTAAAGCTAATCCTGTTATTCATTAAACTAATGCAATGTTAGATTATAGAGGAACTGATAACTAATCGGAAAGCACTTTGCTTGATTGCCAATCGTGATTTTTTTAATGTTTTGGAAAACGAAAAATCTGGCTTTTTTTTTTTGAAAACAACAGAACTAGATATTTAATTATTTGATTTTCGAAAAGATTATTTAGACAAAAACCATTTTTCTCTTAATGCTATTTTTGATTTTAATATTTGTTTATTATATTTAATAACGTGAATAAATTGGAATAATTCATCACTTGAATAATTCTGCGTGATTTAGAATTCAATGAAAGACGAATTTGGATATTCTACACGCCCCACCGTAAAAGCATACATATTTCATATTTGTTTACATTATTCCTATTATTCGATGTTTCCTTTTTGGCGCTAATTTGCATAAATGTATGCAAACGAAACCTTGGGCGAAGTTCAAGTATTCAATTAATCCGGTACTCAGCGTCTTATGAGAAAAATCGCATAATGAATACCATTCAACACATTTCGCCCATATAATGATCACATAACCCCAATAATTGGAAAACGAGGCAAAGTCTGCATACAATGTCGGTCTCCATATGATGATGAAATGAATCGAATTAGTATATGCGTCAGTGATTCGAGAACTACTGCGTCTCCATGAATCGCAGCGTGTTTGGGCTAGTTCTCTTCCGTCGTCACTTCGCACCTCTTCATTTGCTTCGGAAAACGAGTACGCCTCAGTTGGCCGCAAAAATCAGTGGGTGACTAATTCTTAAATTCCGTTTTGCATTCATCTAGAAGACGCCACTTCCCCATTTCATTGTATAGTTTTTTTTAGCGTTCTATCTTCTTCTCCATATCTGATTGCAAATATTTTGAAAAGCTCAGAGAAGCGTTATGTGCTCATTTTTTATGCTTGAATTCTCACGGCTCATGGGTGTATGGAATTCATTTGAGCAAAAACTGATAAAGGCTACGGTAAGCTCAAAGATCATCCTTTATTGTTATTCACATCTAGCTGCTCAATATCATAAATCAAATTACAATATTCTTTTATCTTGATATACATACATGTCTTGAGCTCTCGTGCCAAAATCCGGCCTTTCCTCCCTATAATTATTTCAAATAACACATAACATACTAAACACTTTTCTCAACTCTATGATTATGCTCAAACCCCAAAATTACATGTTTTTCAAACCCTATATTTTGCTAAGGTAAAGAACAATTTAATAAGTGTACGGTGACTAATAAATTAGCAACGTTCTTTTTTTGCGAAACTATACAAAAATTTCGGCCTCAATTATTTGTATTATGAATCATAAAAAGAAGAAAACTCCCTTCTCTTTTGGCTAAAAAAAAACTCATTTCTCGAAAAGTGTAATAGAGAACAAACAACCCGCGATAAAATCGGTCCATGTTTGCGCGAGTTTAGAAAATAAAAACCCATGCTCATATCGGTAATAAAATGCTAACATTAATAGTTTTCATAAGTACTGTAGATGCGTCCAAAGTTTATGTATAGAAGTTTATGTGTTATACGAAAAAAAAAACAAAGTGGCCCAAAAACTCTTTCTTCGAAAACGCACTCGTAGTTTCCTTCTAATAAAAATCTTTGCCAACCTTTGAGAAACATTTTTTGAGCAAAACACAAACCATAATTTTAGTCTAATTCAAGCAAATATAGCACAGAAAATTTCAAATATAAATACATTCTATTTTATCTTCTATTTTCTTTTTGTAAATTTTTCTCATGAATTTAGGTTGCGTTATTAAAAAAAACTTATTAAAATAGAAATCGGAATTTGATCGTTTTTCAGACAGAAATTCAAAATTTGACCATACATTTTACAGAATTTGCTTCCGTCCATTTTTATATTTTTCGATTTTTCTCAGCTCTATATGAATATTATGAGACAAAAAAAGCTTAGAACGAATGTAATAGCTGCCCATTTCGAACTTCATTGCCGTTGATGTTTTCGTGAAAAGAATACGTAAAAAAATTCAATTTTCACACGACGTGTGTTTTTCAGTTACATTTTCCTGAGTTCTTTTCTTGTCTAGTATTATTACTTTTACTATTAGAGAAAAAGCAATAGACGAAAAAGAAGGCATTTTGAAAAAAAGAAAGATGGCGAAGAAAGAAGATTCCCCACCACATTTTTGTCTCGCACCAAACCGCGTCCGACGGCTTCTTCTTTTCCATCTTCTTTTCTCATTCGACACTCTAAAAAAAAGAAACAACTTTTTTCTTCCTTCATCTTATATATTTTTTCGAGTTATACAACTCTCATAACCGGCGAGTGACAAGAAGAATCAAATTTCTTTCGGCGATATTTGAGAATATTCAATTTCAGACGCCTGTTACAATTTTGGTCGAATGTTCTATTAGTTCCCCTTCTCTCTAATTTTTTCTGTCAGGTGTCCGCTATCGAATTAAAACAACCGCATGACGATAATTCAATGTGTCTCATTCTAATCAATACTCTATTACGGTTATTTTTT